ACAGTGGCTGGAAGCCTTTTTTATTCTGTTGTAAGTATGGTTGTTTCAATCCCTTTCTCTCTCACACACACACACACCCACACACACCATTTTCATTTCTCTTCCTGTGAAGTTCCATCCGCAGCAAACAGAATCTCGAGAAAAAGCTTTTAGGCGGAAATTGAGTGTATAATTAAAAGGGTGTACGTCAGCTTGTTGCTCAGACAAGTGACTTGCACATTATCACTAATGGTGCAAGTGGAGACTGTTAACAGTCTGATTCAGCTTCTCGTGGTGGTGAACCTGATTTATAATGAGCAGATGAATAAAGTTAAAGGGATCTGCACTCTGGGGTTCTGCCTCATCTCACATCAAGTGTTTAGGGAATCTGAACAACATCGTCAGCCGCCCCCTCACCATCAATGATCCAGTGTGACATGGAGAACAACAGCTGACTACAGGTGTTGAGTGATCTCTGACGGTGTCTTACCTTGAGGAAACCCGGGGGGAGGAGGGTCAGCGATGCGCTGCTCTGATGCTTGGCTGCTCATGTTCACAAGGTGTGTTGCTGCGAATAAAGTGAGACAAGGCGATTAAGAGGATGGGCAGTGGGGTCAAGCGTGCAGCTGCTCCGGCCCGCTGGAATACAAAGTACGAGGATTAGCCCTCCGCCTCGTCCAGGCGGCTGGAGTTGAGGAGAGCTGAATGGTTGATGTGTAAGACCGCAAAGAACATGTCTTCAACGCCGCTGCTACTCTATGTAACACGCGTGTAATTGCTAAAAAAAAAAAATCACATCTTTGACAATTTCTCTGCTTTTGTTCTAGTTTAATAACCTGAAGAGGAGTTCCCTCAACCGTGAGATCCCCCGACCTCGCCAGTAAAATGATACGCTCTGGCTCCGCGAGGCTCCTGTGAGAGGTCTGCTCGTGCACCAGTCGTTACCCGAAGGCACCATTTCCCCGCTCGGTTAATCGGAGGCCTGGGCACGACCGTTTGCGGCGGATGAGAGGGGCGAGCGAGGCATGTCCTGTGGGCCTCCAACCACATCATGAGCAAGCAGAGTGCTCGAGCGTGAAGCAGACGCGGCCACACTTCATGAACCCTGCCCACAGTCGGGGATGCAAAGCTCCAGGGGGGGGGGGGGACACACACAAAAGAATTGCAGTTCCTACATGCTGTGTTCAGCTATACAATATAGGAGTGGGCAGAAACCTGCATTGTGATCTGTTTCCTTCAGGCAGCACAAGTATTGTGTTGCTATATCTCGTCTTTGTAAACAAGTTCTTAATAATTCAAACCGATATGTGAAACTGGTGGTCTGTATTTGCTTGTGACATTCTATTTGCTCGCATACAAAGTGTATTCTCTCTGTGGTTCTGCAGGCAACGTGCGTCCAACCTCTCGGACACAACGCTAAGTAATTACGCTCCAGTCGTCCATCAATCTCTCAGTAATTTAAAGCTGTGAAAGCATGCATGTCCACCTACTGCCTGGGAGAACAACACCAAACCAAGAGGTCTGTGGCTCTCACACAAACAGAGCCACAGACAGCCAATCAGATCCGAGTGAATAAATGATACGAGATTGAACTTTGTAATGAAGGCAGCGGAGCATGTTGTGCATTACATTTCAACATGCAGATGAGCGAGGATCTCTGCCAAAGAAAAACGGCTCAAGATCCCGCGTTGATTGCTGCAGCGGTCGGCAGATGAGCCTCACGTTTCTGCCCATTTTCTGCTTTATTAAATCGAGTTGCACCCCAAAGAACGGCAAATGTTGTCTTCCTGCACTAAATGATTTACGAGCACCGAGCGGCATCGCGTCGTTCTAATTTCCAACGCTCTCTACCCAGTTTAGAAAAGATGCTGCCTGTGGCCTGAGGTGGTTGAGAGTGTGTTAAATCATTAACCACAGCTAAGTGAGGCATGTAACAGGTAGAAATTCCAACAACCAAACTTCACAAGTTCATTATGTCTTTGTTTAAGCCTCGAGGTGCGCCACCGGTGACGAGACCAACTACTTTCACACCAACTGACTCCCCAGTGGCCCCGGAAAGTTTCACTTTTCCCACGTGGGCTTCTACGTAATCAAACTAAACTACAAAAACAAAAAAGTTCCAGTAAAGTCACAGAGGCCGTTTGTCTCGTGGACCAAAAAAGGAGACAGCTCAATGTGCTCAATGTGCTCAATGTGCTCAATGTGCTCAATGTGCTGTGGTGCTGCCCCCAGCCAGAGAGCTGTGTCCCTCCACTGACAGCATCGCAGGCATTAATCACCAAACTCATTAAGACAATCTGCACAAGTGCCCACAGCTCATAAACTCTGGAATAGACCACAGTGACTCCTTTACCTCCGGAAGCATCCGCTTATTTACTTCTCCATGCAGCCAACCCACCCTGTGCACCCACTTCACACGACACGGGACTGTACGGCTGTTTGTCTCCATCATCTCTATCCACGGAGACAGACGTTGCTTCTCTTCAGGTATCTGTGAACAATAAAGGAAAGCCCTCGTTTTTTTCAATAACATTGGTGAGCAATTGCACTGAAATTGCCACCAAGGGTAACGCGGGGAAAACAAATTGTTTCCTAACACCGATGCACTTCTCTCGAGAAGAACGCGCTATTATTATGAATAAGAAATGAGCAATAAATCTGTGAAGAGTGACCCTCATTCTGTTGCCAGGGCCTGAGAGGATCGCTGGAAGCAAACTGCAGATAGTGTAGCCTTAATGCTCATCGTTACACAGAAATATGTACGACACAAAAGGACAGCTCGCACAATAGGACCCAACTAGAATGGACACATTTTTTCTCGCTGCTCTATCATCCAGGTTCAATGTGCGTACGTTTCCAATGAAACAATATCTAATGGTCACATTGAGGCCATGAAAAGGATTTTCAGCTCACGCACACTCTCCCGAAGCTCCATTAAATGGAACACTTCTGGTGCAATCTGTTGCCATTACAACTTAAATGACATTACGTTTGGTTGATGATTAATAAAAAGCTTTTATTGTTTTGAAGAGGCTCTTGGTAATAAGTGAGGGAGATGGTGCTCTGGAGAAACTGCTGCAGAGACTCAAGTAAAGGAAAGAGGTTTCGTTTAAATAAGACCAGTGTGTCGTTATTGACATAAACCTCTAAAAGGTAAAATAGCAACGCCATTTTCTCAGGGTTGACTGGTGCGGACTCAGACTTTTACATCCTTTGTACCTGATGGGAACTGAGTCACTGCAGCGAGATCCAAAAGCCAGCTGGGGTTAAGTTTAAAGTTAAGTTTACTCACCACTAATCCAGCGCCTCATGGGACAAAACCCCCGAAACAGAGGTGACAAAAAACACAAGAGAGCACCGGCAACCGGTGCGGTGAAAACGTGACAAAGGCGGCTGATTTAAGCCGCATCAGTGGCCGAGGTGAAGATAATCCTCTAACAAACTCAGCGGGGAAGAAAGGACAGAAATGTTTCACTGTGACTAAGTTCACCGAGACATTTTAGAACGGAGACGTCAACAAAAAACGGCTTTTCCACGAGACAACAAAAGTAATCATTGGAGATTTTGGAGACATGTAATCAAATCCGTAGTGACAACAATGACGAGCAAGGCCTGTAGCTTTAGGATTGTGTTCCTGTGTGCGTGTGAACTAGGCACAAGTTAAAGGAATAGTTTGCTATTTTGTGAGATATGCTTTTTTTCCCGAGGGTTAGGTGAGAAGATCAATAGCACTCTCATGACTGTCCGTTAAATCTAAAAGCCAGTTTACACTCCTGCTATTCTTTTATTGGGCACAATGAGAGCTAATGTGGGTTCTTAGTAGGATTGCCGTGCTCCTTTTGCAGCCCACCTTGGCCTCATTAGCAGCCCACATGGGTTAAACACACCTGGGACCTTTATGGAGCCAGCACACAAGTCCCCCATGCGAGGCCCTCGTGGAGAGGTTTGGCAGCTGGAGCGTCCAAAATGGCGACGGGCCAGAATGTGAGGCACCTGGCAAATTAATTGTTGAGCCAGCGATTCTGATGAACAACAAAACTCCCAACGATATACATCACGGCCGCTCACATATACGGCACGAATATCACCGCCGCTTTAAATCACAATTTAATACTCAATCAGACTCGACAAGGGGGACCGTAAAAAAAACAAAAAACTGCAGTATGAACCAACGTTGTGACATCAGTGCAAGGCTCACAAAGTCAAAGTGTGTGTGTGTGTGTGGTGCTGATTGTGGGAGGGGCAAGGGGGCCAATCCAGTCATCCCCGGTCCCCTGCGCAATTTTCATGGAGGCTGGGTTTCATCAGGTTTTGTATTTCAGACCTATTGATTACCTGCAGTGAGGGGCACTGTGACAAAACCTCAGCAGGAGTTCTCTATCTGCAATAAACCATGCACACACACACACACACACACACACACACATTTGGTCTGCTGTGTTATTTCTTCCCCTGGTTATGAAAGAGAGATACAGGAATATGCTCACTATGCTGGTATTGGTTTCTTTGATGGGATTATCCAATGTGCTGTGATTCAGCTCAATATTTCACAGCTTTATCTTAACACACATGTAACGTTTAAATATGTATTTTCCCTCTATCATTCTGTATGCTTCACTTGAAGTTTGCAAACGTGAAGCAGATCGGCTCACCTATTGTTGGGCTCAGTATCTCCAGTCCTCTCTTCCTAATCGATTCTTATCTCCTCCTGACCTTTGTTGTCTCCTGAAGACAGCACGCAGGGCAAAACGGTCCTACTACGAAGGAGAACAGCACGTAGCACCTTACTAGCCAGACTATTGCGCACACATAGTAGCAAGAGTCGAATTAAATTTAATGATTATGCTCTTAAATATTCATTACGAACTGCCGACGGGACACTTAGAAGAAGATGAGAAGCCTACAACCGCCATTCAACAATTTGGACGGTACGTGATTTCCATCTAGTGGCGGGAACAGAAACAAGCCGCCCGTTAACGACACTGTCGTAAAACAAAGAAAAAAGTACAGAGTTGCTTTACGGTGATTTGTAATTTAAAAATTCGACATGGCATCCTCATTGATTTGCAGCGAAACTCAGAGCAGGTAAAAATAAAGAATGATGTTTATTCATTAAGACGTAGTTAATGGACTTAACTGTTGTGTTTTAAACGGCTGTCTCTAATTAATACAACACAAAACGACTCGTAGATGTTCTGCTGTAACGATATGGCAGCCTCCCTTTTAGCTAGTAGACGTGTAAACTGACAAATGGGATTTGTTTGGGATTGTTTCCTTTTTCAGAGTGAGTTCAGTGCTCAACAGAGACGTGAAGCAGTTTGGAAAGAAGTACATGTTCGACTGCAACGAAGAGACGTGCTGGAACTCAGACCAGGTAGAAATACAGCTGTATCATAGTACATGTATTGTACTTTCTTACGTCCATTTCAAGTACTTTAATGCTTCCAAAGTTCTCATAGTATTTTTGCAGTTAATATACAAGAAACCGACATGCAATAGTTTTATACGAACAGGAAATTATCATTTCTGCGACTTTAGAATACTTAAACTCATACAGTATATTCTTAAACTTCTCCAGATGTGCACAATGTTTGCTTTTGTTTTCAAAAATGTACTAGTTGTCTCTGAATCTTGTTTCACCACTGTCCACAATTTGTTTTAGTATTTTGCAGCTCCTTTTTTCCTGCATTGCATTGTGGGAGACTAATGTGCATGGACAGCACGCTCAAAAATTAAACATCTGTTAGTATGCACAATAGCTGATTAACACGTACATAGTAATCGTTCCACACTAGATATACAAAACCTGCTTTGATTCTGCTGTAGGATGGGATAGAAATAAATATACTCGGGCACCTAAATGTTTACTTTCCTTGTGAGTCATCAGCGTCATGTCTTTGACAGGGTGAATGTCAGTGGGTGTCTCTGGAGTTCCCCCAATCGGTCAAGGTGTCTGAGTTAAAGGTCCAGTTCCAGGGAGGCTTCTCGGCAAAAACATGCAGACTAGACGGTAAATCTCGCAGGTTCTCCGACTGTAAGCCTCGTCGCAAATACGTTTCCTGATGTGATTATCCATCGCCCTCTTATTTCAGTGTTTGTTTCTATTAGAGACAAGATGTTAGATGTGGGACGATAAGGTGAATGATTCTCCATTTGTGTTTTCCGCAGGTTGCCCAAAAGATGGAGCCTTTACAGAGATCAGCCATTTTTATCCAGAGGACGACAACTCTCTTCAGATATCCTTCTCTTACTGTGCAGCATTTTACAGAGATTTGATTGGTAAACCTGTTAAGGATTTTTTTTTTTTTTTTGATTCAATGCTAAATAGTGGAGTAACATTTTAAAATTGTAAACCTTTTATTTTCTACAACACATCATTATTTACCAGTAATCAATGTAGCTATATTATATTTAAAGGTACAGTGTGTAGGATTAAGGGTGATTTATTAGCAGAAATATAATATAATATTCATAACTGTGTTTAATCACCTGAAACTAAGAATCATCGTGTGATTTCTGGCTCTCGAGAGTGCCTTTTCGTGTTTTGTACGTTCCTTGCAGGCCACCGTAGTTTTACACACTGGTCCTTTTTAAACTATTCAATCAACTGCATTGATCATAATTCACAACCACTGATCATGTGTTACAAAAATAATCTTTAGACTGAAGAAAACCACTATATCAGACCAGTTTAACCAGATAGTTGGCATAACAGAAAATGCAATTCTGCTTTTATACATTTAAATGCAGCCTGTCATCAGCAGGGTTGTTACAGCAGCTCTTAGCTGTACCTGTCACTCTACAAATAGCAGTGCGTTTCCTGTTTAAAGCTGTAGATGGTTCATAATAAGTATCGAACAATATTTGTCCTGGACATGCTTTTTCATTATCGCCATGCTTATCTTGTTCTTAACTCCACACCCACAGCTTTCCCATACAGGAGGCCTCTGCAGTGGACAAAGTAAAAATAAAGTTTGAGAATAGTGCCGACTTTTTTGGGAGGATAATTGTTTATTCCTTGGACGTCCTGGGAGAAAGAGCCTCGTGACCATTTTTTGTTTTTTTTTTCATTCTGCTCGTGAGAGAGGAAATGACTCCTGAGTAAAGTACAGGATGCACGACGGTGTGGTGGCACTTAAGGGAAACATGTCATCTGTGCCGCCACCTCCATCAACTGATGTGAATGTGGCCTTTTTTGGTATGGACGCTCTCAGGGATCTGTCGCTCTCAGATATACATTTTTATTAAAAACTTGTTCACATTCCTTTTTTGTTGCCTTTCAGCCAAACAAACTGCATTTTAGTCCTTAGTATGTTTTTGTACATTATAATACATACAATAGAAAGCATACAAATGGAATAAACTAGAAAATAAATGTAGATTCCCCCGTGTAAATGTCTCTGCATATGCACCGATCTATTACAGTGCCTTGTTATTGGGACTGGGGTCTTGGTCATCTCACCACCGCTGGTTGTCTGAGATCAACTGCGTCCGGCTGCCCTTTCCAGTTTTGAACTAGTGTCACGTTGGTGGCTTGTAGAGCTTCAGGATATGGTCCTCCAGCACTTTCTGAACTAAGGAAACAAAAGAAAGGAACGTGGATTCAGCAAAACAATTTTACAGTAACCTTTTATGAAAAGAAAAACATATTTGTCAGGTATAATAAGACAAGACTTACTCTTTTTGTGTCCAAGGGCTACAGCCAAGGCCATCGGGCTGTATCCAGAGTCGGACTCAATCGTCATGTCTGCCCCTTTGGCTGAAAGAGAGGACAGTAATTAATAAAGCATTGAAACAGAATTGATCAGGACTTGACATCATAGACACGCAATGTACCTAAAAGTGCCTCTACACATTTGATGTGGTTCCCTCGCACGGCATAAAGAAGAGGAGTTCCACCGTTCTGAGAAATAAAACAAAACATAGATCACATTGTAGTTATATTTGAATGTCAATTATTCATCTTGTGGACCTGTGATGACATGTCAGATGTAAAGAAAGTCAATGTACCCAGTCAAAGGTGTCAATGTCCACTCCATGTCTGAGAAGAGACTCAACAATGTCCACATAGCCTCCAGAGCTGGCCAGTGTCAGGGCGCTCTCTCGCTCCCTCGCAATGGTTTTGGGATCTGCGCCCTAAAAAACAAAACAAACAAATCCCATAAACATCAGAGAGAGAGTGCATTCTGACACGTCTTTCTGGACGGCAGTCGCTCGCTTTCTAACCTTTTCCAAGAGGAAATCCACCACCGCTTTCTCTCCGAACGCTGCGGCCCACATGAGAGGCGTGAAGCCACGCTCGTCCTGTTTGCTCAGCAGCGAACCGTCTGCAAATATCAAACGGGTCACGGCACATCAGTGGGAATTTTTTTTGCGATTTAATGCCCAACATTTGCATTCTGTTATACTGCTGAGTGACATCCAGATCTCTCACCTTTAGTCAGGTGTGCAGCCACTTGTGAAACCTCGCCTTGAGCTGCCAACTGGTGGATGGACAGAGCTGATGGAAAAAAAATTTGATTTGACTTCATTTGCTTAAGACAGGGAAGATACCAGTGTTAGGGAGTAAACTAGTTTTTTTAACTGTATTTTGCAGCTTGCTGGTATTTCAACAACATTTATATTTGCATAGTGAATCAAGTTGTTTAATTACATTTCTTTTTGCCATTTTTTTTAAGTTAACTACTGAAACTGCAAACAGTTTTGGGCCATAAAAGGAAATTATTTTTTATTTTACATAGTGCCGAAACCCCCTTTGACCCGCCCTCCTTTATTTCATTGCATTTGTCCCCATAAGTCACCACCCCACACTTGACCTTTCACCTTTGTGCAGATATAAAGTTACAAGGTGTCACAAAACTGATGAATAAGACAACAGGGCCCATATTTTTTTTAGACTAGTGCTGAAGCCGGTCAAATGGTCTAAGTTAAATATGTTTGGTGAAGTATTTAATTTATTATTTTGGTTTATGTATGACCTGTGAACAAGTGTGCACACAAATAAAATCACTTCAGCTTTTATATTATATTTTCTTTTCTTTTTTTTTTACAAAGTAGTTTAAACTACTAAGTAGCTTTAAGTAACCAAACTAGACTTATTACTACGGTAGCTTTACTGTCGCTAAACTTCTTGTAGTTTGAAGTAATTAGTAGTTTTCCCAACACTGTTAAATACCACGACTACTTGTGTTGCACACAATTTTGTTCGTACTTTGCCACCAGAGCATCTCTGCCAGAACTCACCGTCTAATGTTGCTGGGCGCACTGTAACCTCGTTCCCACGCTGCTTGTTGGTCAGAGTGGTTGGGTGGATGAACAAACCCTCTTCATCCACATCCATGTTTTCTGGAGACACTGGCCCAAGAAGACGAACCACAGACATGTTCAGTGAAAGCAATCCAAACATCGGGTAACATGTATATTAAAAGTTTAAAAAAGGCACGGATACCATTGGACCCCTCATCTCTGGAGTCAGATGGACAAACATTAGCGTTAGATGACTGAACATGTTGGCCATCTGCAACCTCTTCATCACCTCTGGCCTCCATGATCACTGCAACATAAACACGTCATGAACTACTAAATAACCTGGTTCTGTCCTCAAGGAAAAAGTAGATAAAAGTACATTAAAAAGCCAGTTGCATTGTCCACTCACCACATAGAGCCGCACAGTCTAATTTGCGCCAACTTCCTTTCGAGAAAACTGAAAGTAAATTGTTTCGAGTTGCACGACGGGTGTGTTGATGGCCATGGAAGTGTACCGAAGGTACATTAACGTTACGTATCGCTCAGTTAATTAGCTATTTAATTAATACATTATTTTATTAGAAGAAACACGCTTTGATTCAACCCGTGTCACGTATCACAGCGTTCGGCACTATTTTCGAGGAAGAACTGATTTCTCCTAATCGATATTTCCGCCCGGAATATTATCGTGTGACACATGACAACAACAACACGGAAGAAGCCAGAATCAGCTGACACAAGTCGCGTACAGCTGCATTGTGTTGTTATTATTTCTGACTGGCATTACCTACCTGCACTATGGAGGACCAGGAGATGCAACTGAAAGTGAGACGAGGTAAACAAATGAATCGGAATGATACTTACCTCATTGTTAGCTTGCAGCGCTGCAATTAAGCTAGTAGCTAGTTAGTTAGCTCAAGTTAGCCGCTAAGCTAAAGCTACAACGCCAGCATTGTGTTTACATCGTTGTTTGTCCATGTCCCATGATGCTGGGCGTTGATTGTGTTCTTTTTGTGATATGGGTCGTGTATTGTCTGCACGTCTTTGATCACACAGTGTCTGACAAATTCACGGAGAGCATGTACGTGCTGGCTAACGAGCCGTCAGTGGCTCTCTACAGACTGCAGGAACACGTCAGAAGGTCGCTGCCTGAGCTGGTGCAACACAAGGTAGTCATCCTGTGACATGTTGTTGGAGAAAAAACTAAATAAAAAGCAAGTTAAAGGGGCAAAACAAACTAAAAAGTGCACAATATTCTATTAAATGAATACAGACAAACACTGAGTACCATTACTTAGACTCCAAATGCTCTTCTATAGTTTTATTTTCTATTCTTATTTTCAGTATATGTACTTCCTATTTTTTATTTCTATTACTTCCTCTCATTATCAGTATTTATTTCTACCATCGCTCCCCAAAAACATAGTTGAACAAATCATCCACATCCTCCTTTCCTCCAGCCTAGACTGCTGTAATCCATTTACTCGCCTAAACGATGCAGCAGTTACTACAGTTGGTGCAGAATGAAGCAGCAATACTTCTCCCAAACACTCGACGTAGGGAACGTATCACTCTGGTCCTGCAGACGAATTACACTGGCCCCCCACTTGTTACAGAATTCAGTTGAAGATTCTATTAATTATTTATAAATCCCTTTATGGTATGGCTGCACTTTACTTTTCAAAAGTGTTAACCCCTTATTCTTCTCTGAGACCTCTCAGATCAGAGGATCAAAGAGTCTGGCATTTGTATATTTTTTCTAACTTTGAATGTTGTTGTTTTACATTTTCCTGAATATTTGATGGTTGTATCTTCATTTTTTGTAATTCCTCACACAGACTGACATGCAGAGCTGGGAGGAGCAGAGTCAAGGAGCCATCTACTCTGTAGAGTATGCATGCAGGTGAGGAGAGGCCTACATATCTGCTGTCAAGTCATGACTGTTAACACTTTCATTGATCTGTTGTTGTTGTTTCTGCAGTGCCGTGAAGAGCATGACGAACAGCAGCCTGTACTTCAAAAACATTGACGGCCTCCTCCGTCAAGCCATCAGCATGAAGGAACAGATCAGCAACTCTCAAGGACGCAGGTAGGAGGCAGCAGTGAACATGAGTGAGACCCGGCGTGTCCGATGTGTAGGGAGGGGAAATATGAAAGCAACAAAATGTTCCAATTTAGATGTAGACCAACATTTGTACAGCGGCACCGTCAGTTCTCGTGGCTGGTATCTATCTCAACTCTTCCGTATACGACACATTGTTATAGCTGCTTCATAGGAATGCACCTCCATTTTTCTGGTTCCTGTGGGTATAATCCATTAGAAAAGGTTAATTGAGAAGTAACGGAACATCTATCTACAGAACTCAATGGCCTCATCTCTCAAGTGTTAGGGTTATACTTGTGCCTGTTGAGGGACAGTCATCATTAGAAGTCGTTTAACACAATTATCGGTCCAAGTGAAAAATAGTCATTGACATAATTATTTGAACAAGTGTATAATAATAATTCAGGGATATTATTTTTTTGGCCACACCACCGACCCCAAAAGTGTCAAAGAGCCACTTGTACTTTCACATTTCCCCAAATCTCTCTGCATTATTAACTTAAAGTGAGAGACAAAAGTGACTCTGTTCTTTGTATTCATTCTTTGCAGCACATCATAGCTTTGTTGTTATTATCACCTTTGTTTCAGTTTTGTTTTATTTAATACTTAATAATATTTTGTATCAGTTCATATTTTGGGACACCAGCAAATACATCATTTCCTTTCAGTTTATGCCACTTTAATAGCCCAATAACTGCAAAATATTTATTCTTTTGTGGTTAATTGGAGCTTCATGTTTTCAGTTTTATTTGTCTTTGCTGTCTTTTTATTTCCCCCACTGACACCTGCATGAAGCTTACATGATGTGACCCCCTCTCCCAGTCCCCTTGTCTCTGCTCCACATGCCCCTTCCACTTCCTCATGACCTCTGGACTGAGGTGTCCAAGGTTAGTATTTCCTCCAGACAATCATAATAATAATCACATTCAGGCCTGTATTATGTATATTCTTTTACAGAAGTGATTGAAATGTGCATTTAAATGACATTTAAAGCTTTTGTAAACATTATTTTAATCTCCTTTTTAGGTCTTGAAAAACATCCTGCTTTCAAACTGAATTATATTTTCTAAAGTGTATTAATTAGTTGATATGAAATATTGAATACATAACAAAAACTGCACATTGTGCACAAATATTTGGCAAAAAGCCACCATATACAGCAGAATAAAGTATTCACATTATTACAATTGAAGCTATACGTTTTCCAGATTGATACTTGGGCAACACTGGTGAGTTTGAAATCAAGCTCATTCACCAAAACACTACACATTATTCAAGAGCTGTGCTCAATATGTTTTTTCATCAAATTTAAAATTCTTTATAATCCGAACAGGAGAAATCAGTTGATAAAGGTCCAGTTAGGATGAACATACTGAGTAAAAAGGTACAAACTGACAGTTCTACATCTATTTGAATCCACACTTGTGTTAGCGGTCCTCTTGTGCTTGATGCGTAAAGGTCAGCAGTGTCTTTAACCACAAGCTCAGCTTCCATGTCAAACAAGAGTAGAGTCTTTCGCGGAAATCCCTGACTTGCGTGCGAGGACACTCCTCATCTCATTGTTGACCCCGTTCCAGGGTTTAGCCTGGGCCTGCAGTAGACCAGATTCAGTAGACAGGGTCCTGTGCATTCGGGAGCCACTGCCTCCACTGCTGTAGCCGTCTTTATCGCTGGCGTGGCCCTGCGAGCCTCCGGCAGGAGAGTACTGCTGCTGCTGGTACTGCTGCTGTCTCAGGTTGCCACACTGAGGGTAGGAGATCGGCTGCTGGAGGTGAGACTGGCTGCGGTGCATCCGCGGTTTGTCCACGCCAATCTTGAGCTCGCGGTGTCGGGAGACGGGCGTGTTGCCGCCGTGGTCGTTCTGGAAGAGGGTGTCGAGGTGGTCGCTGTGATGGTGCTTGGCGCCGCGAGAAGCTTTGACCAGAGTGTGGATCACAACAACCAGTAAGACGAAGATCCCAGAGGAGAGTACGCAAGCGCTCGCCATACCCGTCTCCACTTCAAATATGAGGAGCATAAAGATGGACATAGCTGCAGAGGAAAAGAAGGAAACGGAGGATTGATACACACAGAAACACTAAATCAATGTTAATCTATTAAAGAGCCTAATTACTTTTAAACAAAAGTTACTTTTTACTTTCATCTGGATTTGCTGCTAGTTTTTGCTACATTTTTTATTTTCACATTACTTGCTGCACATCCAAGCAAATGGATGCTTTAAAAAAGTGTTTAATGTTGTTGGAATGTCATTTAAAGGCCGGCTATTCTTAGTTAAGTTGTTCTTGTGTTTATCTGCAGGAAAAGGACCATGGAGTCAGGCAAGGAAGGGGGAGAAAAGCACAGCGCTGGGATGTGACGCAACTTCCTGAGTCGGTGGCGTTGCTTCTACGGTCCCCTTTCTCTGCTACAGTCCCCTTTCTCTGCTACATCTTGATTGAGGCTGAAGTGGGCGTCATAAATGAGACGCCTCCTCATCACAATGGAGTGACTGCCCCCCCCCCCTCTAGTACAAGCCGCTCAGTGGAACAGAGCAACACAGCGCTGCCAGGTTCAGCATTAACAACACTTAAGTCATGGACGCTGCTCAAAGAATGCATTGTTCTCTCGGACTCGCTGGACGGACCAGAGAGAAAGCAGCAGTGCTGGTTTTTGCCCCGGGTGTTTAAAATCCACTGCACTGCCAGTGTTTTGGACACTAGTCTTTGTGAATTTGTTTATTAGAGGCTTATAAGTACCCTGCATGCAAATTATAAAACACACTTGCACAAGGAAAACATACAAATGTGCGCTAGAAGGCAATAACAGGTGCCTTTATTTCAGGATTAAATGTACGTACATGCCAGATCGGGCAACAGAATCTTTAAAAATATGTTTTTCCTTTTTTTTTTTTTCTTACCTGCCAAGTAGACAGAAACCCCGAGGCAGAACAGTCCAATAGCCACGTGTCGCACAGCTCTGCTATCTAAAAGGAACCAGTCTGCTCTGTGGAAACAAATGTTGTACGTTCAATGTTGTGGCTCAGGCATGTTTACACTGTTACTTTGATATTCTCATCGGTGCATAAATTGACAATTTCTGTGTTGACAATTTTCTTTCGTGTCGGTTCATTACAACTTTTTTACAATACAATCCAACTTTCCATGGTCCTTTTTTTTTTTTTTTTTTTTTTTAAGTCCTAAAACATGTGATTATTGTTTATCTGGGTATGTTTAAATGAAAAGCTCATTAGTATTCACATTTTCTTGGAATGTACCCGTCTGTCAGTGGGGAGGTCCTGGGGTATGCTGCTGGATTTGTAAACCGACATGGGAAAGGGCCAGCTAGAGGCCGTGTGCTGGGTGAATAATGAGAGGAAGGCCATTGTTTCGATGGGATTCATAGGGCTTGAGAGGTGGGGGTCGGCCAACCGCATTGCAGTACGGGCCTCTGCACTCCGACACATAAGGAAGGCTCTTTTATACTTCTGAAACTGTGTTTTCTTTTAATGGAATTTAATGCAGTCCACCAGGATCTGTTGTGGTTTACGGAGAACAATTAAAGAAGATCGTGTGGGCGCAGGAAGAAACACTGACTAAATAAAATGTTATTTCCACTTTCAGCAACAGTGACTCTAGGGCCATTTAATAATTATTACCTTTCTTAAAGCATGATGTTTTAGTGAGGCATTTATTAAATTCTGGGGGTTTATTTGAGGCTGTACTTTGTGGTGGTTTTGTTTTGCTCTGCCTTAATATTAAAAGTTTGCTCATTTTCATACATGGACGAACACCACACAAACTACAGCCTCAAAAATGAGAATGAAGTTGGATTAGTATTCCTCCAACATAGTGTCAAATTTAAGTAGGATTTATTAGGCTGCAGGATTTGCATTACATAACACGGGGGTTATATTCACTTCACTTGAACAAGTAGTTAAAGTGAAATAATACAAAGTTATGTAGCCACAGTGGCCACAAATTACACTTACAGGATACTATTAATGCTAAAATGTAGAGTAATGTAACACCAGTAAGCGAAAGTGTTGACCAATATTTGCTAATTAGCCACCGAAGCTAGCTCACTGTTAGCACAACACCACCTGAATTGAGCTATGGTCGGTTTTACTGCTTATAAATTCAAACTTTGTGTTTGTTTGTTAGAGAAACATGTTATTTCTTGTTTTAAAACGCACACAGTCTTGCCCCAAAGGTCGCTTTTCAGTATAACAGTTGATTTCCAGCCGCGTATTAACATAGCAATTACCTATAAAGCGACTACAGGTGCGTTTACGCCTTCAAAACCGACCGGAACTAGCTGTTTCTGAACTATTCACTGAACAAGTGAGTGAAGCGGCTGAAAGTGACGCCGCAGGTGTTTTGTTGTTGTTGTTGTTGTTTTTAAACTTGTGGTAGACGACCTGCGTTACATGCCGACTAAATACCTTTCAGTGTCCTGCTCTCCTCTGCAGACCTCTGTGGAGAAGTAGCTGTGGAGGAGACAGACCACCACAGAGCTTAAGTGAAGGCTGAGGGATAGAGCCGAGAGGACCGTGGAGACGGGCAGCAGGACGGCCCAGATCTGAGCCGGTACGAGCAAGGAGGTGGACGGGGGAGACTCCTTCATGGCCGTCTGTTGAGACTGAAGCTGGAAAATCAAAATGACCGATAAAACAGACATGATGGCCGATAAAATCCCCAGTAAAGACAGAACTATCAGACACCGCTGGCTGTACTTGAGCGTCATCTTTATCCTCAATGTCAGGTTTCTCTAGAATAAAAAAAAAGTTTATCCTTCCCGGGTCGGACTCTTTGATTAAAACTTCTCCGGTGGTGCAAAACTCCCAAAAAGTAGCGCTGGCATTGCAGTGTGAATAAAAAAAAGTTTCCCCCTCGGTCCCGTCGGGATGAATAGTGTTTTCCTCCCCAACATGCAGCAGTTTGCCTGTTGTGGTAGAGCGCCCTGCTGCTCAGTCTGAGCATGTGATGTGCTTTAAATCCCCAGATTAAAAACTTCGCAACAACAATGGACTTTTTTTCTTCTTCTCCTGGATCCTCGGAAACAATGCGTGGACGCGCTCCTGCACGGGAGAGAGGCAGAGCTGCACTGACTGCACTCAAAACACCGTGACAGGACAAAGGGCATGAAAACAGTGCAGCACCACTCTACAAAAATCACAACCTGTGCCCGAATTCAATTATAGAAATACAGAAATTATACTAAATGCATTAACTTCTAGGGCCTATTCTCCAAAAACATGTCCATATTGTATTTCCTGTGCTAATAGATTAGCCTACTTCCTCTGATATGATCCTCTTATCCTCATAAAGTGATTAAAGGATTATATAGTAGGCTACTTTTCAACAGGCCATTTGATTGTCTTCTTACCAAATACAAAAAGAAACAACCGACACAATAAAATAAAGCAAAATCAAATGTGAATCCAAGTCCTGCAGTTATTTCCTGTGCAAGATGAGACTACGGCAGGTGTGCATTACAGCTATAACTTTTGAGGAATTTGCAGCAGCGGCCGCCTCAGCTCAGCCCCTCTTCATTGTAGAATACAACCTTTTATTCCTCGAGCAGCTCCTCGGACTCTCTGAATCTAATTAGCTTTGTCACAGTTTACCTGGGATGCTCTTTTATTTATTACCATTGCATCCTACTTATTTTTGTTATTGCCACTGCAAACATGTTATAACAGAAGTTACATGTGCAGTATCTGCCTTATTTTTTGGAATTAACATTTAATATTAACTTTGTGTAGACTTCATGTACGCTGGACCGCAAACACCTCAACTTCTAGTCTGTGACTTGTGTTACAGAGGCCTTATTGTTCTGTGTGAGGTTGGGGTTTGATGGGGGGGGTGTTAGTAAAGGTGTAGCCCTTATTCTGTTGAGATGTAGATAAGACTGTAGCTATAAAGGTACACAATGTGAACAATTGCTCTCACACATGTACACTGACCATGGAGGCTATTTCTGAATTCGACAGCCTCACCACATGCACTGAAAGGGCCGCGGCTGATCTTGTCGAAAGCAGAAGTGAGAAGTTTCAGGAAAATGAAGAAGAAAAAAAAAGAAAGAAAATGGACTTGATACGGAAAGTTCTCAAAGTCACCTCAATCTCTCTCTCTACTCTACTCTACTCTATGGCTCCTTGCCTTGGGTGTTGTATCAGTATGGTTGTAATTCAGCCTTCAGTGCTCCGGCTTGATGGAGCTCCCACAGTGTTTAGAGTAAATGCACGAAGATGAACACACTTGCACTGAGAAAAGATGTAATTTCCCCTTTGGCTGCAGGCGATTAGCTGTATTTACAGATGGGGGTTGGCACTATATTCTCTGTCGGATTGATGGAGCCCACGCAGATGAATCCTGGAGGTAAAGGCTGTGGCAGTCTGCGGGGATGTTGCTAACTATTGCATCAGATGCACAGTTTGAGTTTACCTCTCGGGGATCTCTAATTGTGTGTGCGTGTGTGTGTGTGTGTGTGTGTGGGGGGGGAGAAACAGAGTTGTCTACACTTCCACAGATGATCTGTGCTATTAAATGTGTCGCTGTATTATATTTAGGAGTGCATTGTGTCACATCCCAAAAATAGTCAATAATGCAGCTCATGCAGTGATTCAGTTATTACCTCTAAATATATCTATTGAGCTGACAGCATGTCTGTTTTCCATTAGTGTCTTCGCTTTGCTTGAGAGCAATTTATTCCTCCATATTTTTTTTCACTTTTCCTCTGTCACCTCCATTCACTTTCATTAGTGATACCCAAATAAACTCTCTATAATATCAACAGCAGAGCTACGGTGAGCTATGCAGCAGTTTGGACATGAGGAAATATTGTATACGAGTCGTAATTAGGAGTAATTTGTGTGTCTTTTAATTGACATGCACAGCAGGCGAACACAATAATAACTGTATGCAATCTCATATGGCAGCCTTGCCCCCCCTCCCCTCCCCTTCCCCCCCATCACCCTTTGAAGCTTACATGTTTGTTGAGACTATCACAGTAGTTGATTGAACTCAGGTTATTTTCGGAGGCTGTAACTTGCGGTGTGTCGTAACAAATTAAAGCCTATTGTTAGGTGTTCCTGTCATTTTGTTTGACTCATAGGCCTGTATGTGCAGAGGTAGACTGAATTACAGTTATAGTTTCAGTTCACGGCCTCAGAAACACTTCAGTTTAACAACCAAATTATACAGGAATGCATCCTGACTGATCTCAACAAAACAGCAGAATTGAACCGATGTAGGGGAGAGACAACTGTCATATACTGTCGAAACTGAGGTAATAAACATATATGGATACATATGACACTTAATTGATCTGTGGGGATGTGGTCAATTGTCGAGGGACACTTCGGCAGCGTGATTGTCAGCACACATACTTAAACCTTGAAGGTCTATTGAACCAGAAGGCCACTCTGATGTGCAGATACCTCTAATGCACATCACTGCATTTGGAGATCTAATGATACTTAACACAACAATAAATCATTGATCCGATGATCCATTATTGAAAAGCGCTTGATGTGCTCCAAGATTAACTCAGACTTTCAGAACATGTTGTAAAATGAGATGAAAAAATAATTTTGTAGTATTAATTGCTTTTAAAATACCATTAAATTGTGTCAATAAAATGTGTAATTTCTATCATTTCACACAATTCAGAGTGCAGCTTTATAAAACCTGTGACAAAATATTGATCCCATTCAAATCATAATTTCCACAGAGAATGTGTCTTAAGGGCAAGGGTTCCCATCCTGGGGATTGAGACCCCCCCGCCCCCCCGCCCAACCAAACTGACCTCCTGCACGTCACACTGCTACCTGAGACACAAAGGTCCATTTACACTCTTGAATTAGAGAGGGATGTTGCGTTACTCACAACAAGTGCTAACAATTCCAGAGAAGAAAACCTGTGACAGGGTGAGTATTTTAGTCTCACCACAATCCTCAATCATTCCTATGGATTTGTTTTACTTCCTTCACATCAACAGTTTCACTTTCTGCCACCTGGAACCCTCCTCAGGCTTTCACCTGCTGAAACCAAACCAGTTTTGACTGGATTTACTGTTTTGTTTTTTGTCTTAGTGTTGTAGTCATGTGCCCAGTTTTACGTGTGCTAATTGCATCCATCAATTGGGGACGAATAAAGTGATAAATCCATTTTAAGATCCTTATTTTCTCATTATTCTTGACATACTAGGTCATTATTTTGAGATTCTTAGTTTCTAGGGTTCTTTTTAGAGCTACTTAGTCATTATTTTGATATGCTAAGTCAAAATATTGACAAAGTTTCTCATTATTTTGAGACGCTAACTTATTGTTCTGGGATCTTAACTCATTATTTTGAGATACTAAGTCAAAATATTGAGAATGTTTTCTCATTATCTTCAGATAATAAGTCATTATATTGAGATACATCAAAATATTGAGAAAGTTTCTAATTATTTTGAGATACAAAGTCATTATTTTGAGGTACTGATTCAAAATACTGAGAAAGTTTCTCATTATTTGAGATGCTAAGTCATTCATTTGAGGTACTAAATCATTATTTTGAGATACATCAAAATATTTAGAAAGTTTCTCATTATTTTGAGACGCTAACTTATTTTTCTGAGATACTACGTCATTATTTTGAGATTTAAGTCAAGATATTGAGAATGTTTCTCATTATTTTGAGGTACTAAGTCATCAATTTGAGATACAGAGTCATTATTTTGCGATATAAATCAAAACATTGAGATAGTTTCTCATTATAATGGAAATACTTCCAATCAACTACTAACTATCTACTAACTCTATACTCGAAGAAAAACAGGTTCCTTGAGACACCATCTCACCAAATGGTTGGTGTCTGCTAATAATGCGGATCTTTTTAGTAGCCCTCCTACACACACCGATTATAAAATAAAAGAGTGTAACTGGTGCTGTGAACTCGCTGACAGGCTGGAGGGACTGCTGCGTTTGAAGGCGGATGGGAGGCGGAGGAGCTCGTCCAATGGCGCGGCCGAGGAGGAGGAGGAAGAGGAGGAGGAGGAGGAGGAGGAGGAGGAGTAGGCGGTGTATGATGACAGAGAGAGAGGCGGCTGTTGGAAAGCAGCGCTTCTGATTCTCAACCATCCGCTACCAAAGCGCACCAGGTGAATATCTGCACATCAGCGCGACACCAGAACACAAGGCAACACTCCGTTTAGACGTCTGTGTTTTATTTTGTATTTCCTGTTTGTTTGGTCTCGAGACAGCGGGTGAAACTCCGTAGAGAGAATTACATCGACAGCAGGTGAGATGTTTGTTTTTCTTTCTTGTTTTTCTGCGTTGAGTATTTTTAGGATCTGTGTTGTTGAGGCTTTCTGTGTGGACACTTTAAATAGCTGTGTTTAACGTACCTGTTTCCGTGTCATTGAACGCAGCCTATAGATGAGGCTATATTAGACAGGGATGCTAGGCAACTCGGGGACAGACGGGCTATTCTTAAACGGTCTATTTGGACTGACGTCAGCAAATTATTAGGCCTAATTATCCGCTAACATTTTTTTCAAGCCATGTATTTTTACATTTTTATTTATATTTTTAGCCTCCAATGGCGTGCCGTGCAAAATGAATCCTTTGGGTATAGACACATCCCATGACACTCTCTCTCTCTCTCTCCATCTTTCTCATCCGGTCAACCTGTTGCATTTTCATTCTTCACTGCTGAGGCTCGTTCAAGACGTGCACTGTGAGCTCATGTCTGAGATTATTCAAGATTAAGACGAGTGTAACGCGTGTTGTGTTTCATTCAAAAGAGCAGAAGAGGTAGGAGAAGTTTCCTCCTGTCGCTTCACATTAAGGTGTGTCTCATCTTCACATTGTCTCACAGTCAGGGGGACCAACTTTATTTAAAGTCATCAAAAAGTCTTCTTTCATATATTCCACTCATGCCTATAGGCTGCTATTGCTATTCAGGCTTTATCGAGGCAATTCAATTATCTGCTGTTAAAATTAGACAAATATTTCCTCACCATTACTCTGCAAAGGCCCGGTGAACCGCATGAACTGCCTGACCCTCAAGATGACACACACACATTTATTTATCCTGTTATATTGATGCCTTGATGTAAAAAAAAAAAAAAAATGAACACAAGCCTCAGTAAGAAACGAAGAGTAACACCTTCCTCTTTTTAAAATATGTTACAATTTTTTTCATAACTTTGGTTTCGGAGGATTTCTTCAATGGTTCATGCAAAATTTGCTTCCAGTTTTGGTCCGGCTTTCACATTTTATCTTAACACGAGACGTTGATGCGACTGAAATGACTCAAACCAAGGGGCTGCTCGCCCGGCTCGGCTCGGTGTCATCCACACGGCTGCAGAGCTGCTGCTGCTGTTACAGTTCACTCCATCGCTGTCTGTGTCAGTCACACAGTTTATCTGTCGACTGCTTTCATCGTACAATCAATACATGTATGAAACGTTGTATTTCACAGAAGCAGGAAGATAATGACGCAGAAACGTCCGCTACTAAATGGATTGTTGTTGCAGTATTTTACTAATGAAACGCCTTTGATTAATCTGTCAATTGTGTTTAGCCATATTGAACAACCAAACGGTCCTGAGTGTGATTGGCTGTTATAGGAATCCATCACATAGGAAGCCATAAGCTTCTCTGCTCGCACATGTTCGGCATGTTTTTGCAACATTATCAAGCCATCATGCTCTAAATGACTCATGGAAAGAAAACCATCCAAGCAGAACCCCCAATACTCTACCGATGCCCTACTTATTTCCCTTCTCATTCATGCGTACAGTTCGCCGCAGCAAGAGAAACCCAGCGGTGCAATAGATTCATCTGAACTTATTAGATGATCTTGTCTGTCGATGCATAAGCTTCTAGTCTTTCCTCTGCGTGTTCATCGTTGTCCCAGTGAGGTCTCCGGTGATTGGCCACAAAGCTCCCAGGGTATGTCAGCGATCAGGGCGAACCGTGTGCCGCTGAGCTCACTTGTTTCCACCGCTTCGCCTCCGGGAAGGCGTCTGACAAAGGGCCGCCGTCGTTCCCCATAGAAGCCCGAGACCCAGGGGCGAGAGTGCATGTGTGCAATTACTGCGCTATTACAGGACACACAGTGAATCCGTTTTACATTCATATCTTATCGTAATACTTTTGATGCTAGCTGAGAGGTATCAAATAAAAAAAGACATTTTATTGTGCACGTTTTCTCAGCGACAACATGTTCAGGAGTTGACCGTAGCGATGAAAGGCCACAGGCAGCAGTACGCGCGTTCTGGTGCATTCGCAGACCTCAAACGGCAGTTGTCGTGCGGGAAAAGATCCAGAATTAGCTGATGTGTGAAGCACAGCCAGGCCTTTTCCTGCCTGTCTCAGGCCTTCTGGGCCTTTTCGACAAACCTACTAAACCACATAGACTTCTAGCTATAACTCCACACCGTTTGGGTTGAGGTGTAGCTATATTTACCCAGCTGCTCTTGTGTTTTAACATGGCGCTGATAGTCGTCGTTTGGTTGTATCTAAGAGGAGAGGTACTTTCTGTAAAACCCCTGAGATAAAGATCTGTCTGCCCTGTTTAGAACACATGTCCCACTTCCCTCTCTTCTCGCCATCGACATGTCTTGATGTGCAGATAAATGGCCTCGCTTGAGTGACAGATCAGCTTGATCTAGAGTGAGTTGAATTATTTGTGGTGTGGCTGGAGGTGTTAGTTACACAGACCAATGCTGGTTTTTGTGGTCCTTTACTTTTAAGCAAGAGCTATTTGTCCGCAGTGTGGCTTGTTTTAAAGTCTCGACAGCATCAGTAGCAGCATCAGCAGCAGCAGCAGCTTCATCTGCAGCCTGTTGGCGTCGAGGTGTGTCTTGTCTCTGCAGCACAGTGGACATCACAGGACTTTATAAGGCAATGATGATAGTAAAGAGGTGGATTCCTCCAGAAATGCCCCAAATGCCTGTGTGCCAAGCTCACATCGAGGGACAGCGGGCACTTTAGGGGTCGTGGGAACATAGGAGTCATATCCGCAAAGGCACCATCAGGAGGGCCGGGGGACTAAAAATAGAGAAGTCCGATACATGTCCAGTATTGAGGGGAAAAACCAGTGAAAAGTGCTCCGGGCTTTGGAGAAGCACCGTTTGGTCGGAGGAGTGAAACCACCACTCAGTGTAGTCGTATGACTGATAGTGGAGCGTAGAAAGGAAATAACCCATACAGCAAATCTATGTATGCAATTAAATTAGTGTTTTACTTAGTTTGCATCAAAGTCACTTCACGGCTGTCACCCATAATGCATTTTTTGCATTTTTTCTCTCTCCATAGTGTGCATCTTTATACAGTCCTGCAGGGTCAGGGACCGCAGCGGGGGTTTTCTAGAACAAAAAAAAAAAAAAAAGCGGGTTTTCAAAAATGGACATTCTCAAGCCAACCACACAATCCATCCATGTCTTGCTTTTTTTCTCTGACCTGGCTGTGCATGAGAGAGGAGTGGGTGGCTTTTAGCTGCAGCTGTCTTTCAAAAACACACCGTTTTCCCTTTTCACTGTTTGGTTTTAGCTACTGCCTGCTGAACCTTTAAAAGGAGCTATCGACTGTATTTTTAACCCCGTCTCTCGGGGCCGTGCGGTGCAGGCGAGCACTGAGCCGCTGGCCCAGGGGTGACCCAGACTGTGGGTGTCAGACTGTGTGGACTGCTCTAACTTTAGACCGCATCGCCTCATGGTGGTAAAAATAAACAACCCTGCCCTTCCTACGGAGGAAAAGAGACTTGAGTCATTTAAACCAAATGCATGACATTTTCCCACCAGAATTATTTGAACGTGAAGACGAGTGTTATTGAATATTAGCACTGTTTTGCATGTGCACAAGAAGAAGCTGTTAGCTCAGTGGCTGAGGAACAAATGTGACACTCAATAAAACTTTTGCATTTTCTTTGAAATAGAGACGGAAAGTGTTTAATATCACTGCAGCAGTATGAATGCAAAAACATATTGTATTCTGTAACATTGTTATATTTTATTTCACAGGTGTCAGAGTGACAGACAGCAGAAAAAATGGGAAGAAAGAAAATACAAATATCTCGTATTCTTGACCAGAGGAATAGACAGGTGGGGAATATTTCATTTATTTTTTTCATTTATTTCTGCATGTGTACTGGGGCCAGGTATCGGCAACAATCTGGAGATACAGGAGTTACGATATAATATAGTGCAATATATTGCGATACTGTAAGCAAGGGGAGATATTGCCGCCGTCCTCGACCAAAGAAATTCTGAGTTTTGTCGACTATTCGAGCAGTAGATTTAATCGACAAATCTGTAAATCTTTCTCCACAAACAATGACACAGAAAGCACTATCTCGTGTTTACCAGAGATGTGCTCATACGTTTCTTGGAAATAAGTCATTCAGCATGAATAAGCATAAAAACTGACAAGACGACTGATTAGTCAACTAATTGACTAAGAGGAGGCAGAAAACTGTCATAATATAAAGAACACACCACCATATGCATTACATCTGAGTAAGAACAGTGATCTGCATTTGCGTTTATCACAGTCTCTGTAACATCCAATAACACTACATTTTGTGCAGTCTGAGACGCTGTCTGACATGAATCTTTGCGTGTAAGTTAAAAAAATCAATAGAGTGTTTTTGAGAATTAATACAGTCTCTCAAAACATAATATCGCGATACTCTACTGTCGCCTCACAGCAATAAAGTCCGGGGTTCGATCCCCGGTCTGTGCAGGAGTTTGCATGAACTCAGGTGGGTTTCCCGTCATCACTAAAACATGTAAAACATGTTGCGTCAGTGAGGACATCCGTCATAATGCAAAATCTCAAATCAAATGTGACGATCATAAAAACAGATTTCCATTCCGGATTTACAACAAGACGGAGATAGACGCTCTGCTGTGGCGAAAAGATTTGTAAATTCATAAATATTAGTGCCTCATGAGTGCAGGAGATGCAACAAAATGCTGACGTAATTGTCCCATAGTGTATAGACAAGGCTGAGAGTCCAGTAATGCATAGGACACACAAACACACACTGATTTGGGTATAAAATACGTTTCATGCATCGTGCAGCAGGGACTCAGCAAGAGGGGTTAATGTGTGTGGGAAAGATTTCTTCATGCTACAACACCGGAGGAAATATCACATTTTGATATCTAGACATCTACATCTTACGGTAATTGCTCCATTTTCTCACTTGCATATCGAGGGCCAACTCGGAGCCAAATAGGTGTAAAAGCAGCATTGGGTGAGACTTGAGCGTTAGAGCGGAAGGTTTGCTGTGAATTTAACAAAATGTGAAAGATCGAACAGTGAAAGGGAGATTTTTCTTTGGTGTTCCAAAAGGTCAGTAATGGCACTCAGGCTCTTTCACACTGAACAAAATGGACCGAGCACTTTAACAGAGCGAGGAAATATGGTGAAAGCTTAAAATGAAGACGTGTTTGACAGTATACAGTGAAGGAAGTTCTTTGTCAGTTTGATGGACGATGGATCCGATAAAGCAGATTATATATACAGAGCAGTGTTGACGTCAATTTACGGCCAGAAGTTACATATATTTTACTGGGTCACCACAGACTGAGGTAATGTCAGTGACATACTGTATCGTGACAGAAGAAATCAGAAGAAGAAGAAACGCGTATTAAACTGTGCTGGCAGATACGATTTGTTTCTCATATCTGATCTTCAGGACTGAATGTTTTTTGGTGATAAGGTTTGTTTTTGGGGAGTTTTTCCTTATCTGTGTTGAGGGTGTGAGAATAGACAGTGTTGTATGCTGCACAGATTGCAAAGGCTTCTGGGACAAACTTGTGATTTTAGGCTGTTTAAATGTGGCGGACTGTCAACACTGTTATTTGCAAGCAATCAGTTAGGATTTATGTGTTTTTCTCTTCCAATAAAAAAAACAAAGATTTTATTTTCAACTCAACCCCAAAAATTATAATAGGCTGATTATGTGGCAACTACAACACACTTTGACTATATTTATTCCCGTTATTCATTCCTGCAGAAATATTTGAACGAGTTCACACCAAAACATTTTTTACGTATTTGTCTTTAAATATTCCTTTGACTCTATCTGATCAAGACGACACAAACCTCTGCGTGTGTTTTTTCAGGTGACTTTCACCAAGCGTAAGTTCGGTCTGATGAAGAAGGCGTACGAGCTGAGCGTGCTGTGCGACTGCGAGATCGCTCTCATCATCTTCAACAGCACCAACCGCCTGTTCCAGTATGCCAGCACAGACATGGACAAAGTGCTGCTCAAGTACACCGAGTACAGCGAGCCACACGAGAGTCGCACCAACACGGACATACTGGAGGTGCTGTGCACGCTGCTATTTAAGGAAATGACAGTGAATCATGATGTAGTGTTCACGAAATAGCTCATTATTTCAGAGCAGGAAGCATTCACATGAAATTCCAGTTGCAAGATTGTTGTATTTTGCATGAAAAATAATCTTTCACTGTCATCGTGGGTCATTTTCCACGTGCACTTTCTGTTCTGTATCAGACTCTGCGCAGGAAAGGCCTCGGTCTGGACAGCTCGGAGCTCGACAGCTCGGAGTGCATGCAGGTGGCTGCAGAAAAGTATCCTCCCAGCGAGGGCATGGATCTCTCGTTGGCTCGCCAACGCTTCTACGTCAGTCCACACACACCTCTGCTGTCGCACCTCCACCACACACACACAAGCACACCTGAAGTTGAAGTGTTTTAAATGTGGATTCTTCTAATTCTCATGACTTTAATGAAATGACCAGATATTTCTTCCCTTCCGGACAGTTTCTGGACTTTAATTCTCACGCTGTTATTTCACTCTGGTTTCACTCTTCAGGCTCCATCCCTCCTCTCACCGGAGGCCCAGTTCCTGGTGTCTGCAGGCTGTGAGAACGGCTTCCCCAACTCCTCCGGACCCGGCATGGCGTCCCACAGACCTCAGGCCTTTAAATCTCTGAGCTCCAGACCCGGCTCTGTCAGCCCTGCTGCTCCACACGCACACAATGCATTCATGTCTCCACACTTGGGTGAGCAGAACTGGATGAAACGGAGTCATTTTACTTACAAAGAGAAAGATTTGCAGGACTTTTTCACATGTCATATGATAATGGCATTAAATTACAACTCTCTACTGAACGGTAAATCGCTTTTCAAAGACACCAGCGGTTTGCAACTGTCCATTTACAAATTGGCAATATTTCACAGAAAGTTACCATTGGTTGCCTTATTGAGCAATGAACACATTTCAGCCTTAAAAATAGATGCGAAGCATTTAGCCTGATAATCCATTAAACGCTCGCTAAATGCTCGCTGTACAATTCACATGCGCACTTTCAACTTTCTGTGCAGCTGGCTGTGAACTCACAGGAAGTGTGTGCGTAAGTGTCTGTGTGTGTGTGTGTGTGTTCGTATGTGTGTGTGTGTGTGTGTGCGCACTAATCCACACTTGCAGTCTGTCTGTTTTGTGAAACTGGCCCTCCACCAGTGTGAACAGCGGCTGTCACTAGTTCTGTGGTTTCTGTACAGAACGTATCACACCTGCCAGTGTTTTACTGCTCACTGATGTTATTAGACACTGATCATTGACAGCCTTTGTGATTTTCTAATAGTTGACTCTGATTTTTGTGATCAGGTCAACAATGCAACAATAAATGCGTTGCCCATTGTCCTATAATGATCGGATACCAAGTCAAGGGCCAACCTAAAAGAAGAAGTTTGTTTTTTTATCACACTTGTGCACAGAAACCGAGCGAGGTGAAAAAAAAAAAAAAAAGTATCACAGAGAATAAATTATCCCTCCGTGAGTGAAACAAGCTCACATCTCTTTTCACTTCCTGCTCCTCTCTTTTTGCCATGAAGGTATCGGCTACTCCGTGTTCTCCCACGGCAACCTGAATCGAGCTCTGGAGATGAAGAGCCCCCCTCCTCTGAACCTGGGCAGTGAGAACCTGCGGGGGGATGCTGCTAATCAGTGCATGGGGGCCTCACGTGCGAACCACAACTCCGCTGTAAGTCGCTATCCAGTGTGAGCTGCTTTAAAATGTGTCACACTTCGCACATGATATTATATTCATATTGTATGCATGAAATGATGTCACTCTACCACTACAAACTCGAGATTGTTTGACTGTTTCTCCTTCCCTATTCATCAGAGAGGTGTCTTGTACCAGGGCCTGCACAGCAGCAGCTCCATGGTAGCCATGGGCAAGGCCGGCCTGCTGGGTCAGGGCCTGGGAGGCTACGGCCTCCCCTCTCCTGGAGCCTCTGGTGCGTCTATCTTGCTGAGAGTTAGATGAGAGGATTGATACCACTCTCGTGTCCGTCTGTTACGAATCAAGCAGCAGCTGATTAGCTTAGCTTAGCTTAGCACAAAGGCTGTAAACAGGGGGAATGAGCTAGCCCGGGTCTGAACCAGCACAGACCGAGGAGCAACAAGGACAGGTTGTGGTTTTACCACTGGAGCTAGGCTAGCTGTTTCCCCCCCTGTTTCCAGTCTTTATGCTAAGCTAAGCTAAGCTAACCAGCTGCTGGGTTCATGTTTATAGTACAGACATGAGAATGTTGACTCTCGGGAAGAAAGTAAACTTTTTGAACTATGGTCTTACAGTGAAGACAATCTATCTTATCATTCACTGATTCTGGTTTATTAAAATCTTTCTTTGTTTTCATCTTTTGATTAATATCTCTCTCTCCAGAGTACAGCCAACCTGGTTTTTATCACTCTGTTAGTCTACAACGAGGAGCAGTGAACCCCTGGCAGCAAGCACAGCTGCCTCAGGACTCCCATGGGCCTCATATAAGCCCAGGGTGAGGATATTAATGCGTGATATGGTACCTCTGTGAGGATGAATTATGGCACAAAGTTGAATCTGCACTCTAGTCTTTGCTCTGCAAGGATTTCTTTATCCACTCTTGCTCTGCAACGTCGTCATCAGGCACAAACAAACATCACATTTCATATACATATCACAATATGATGCAATTATCAGCATCAGAATGCCGAACGATATGTTAAACAGTGAGACGGAGCAATGGGAAGAAAAAAATAGGAAATATATTAAAAACTGTAATCAAAAGAAAAGGATTGGAAAAATAACATTAATAACAAATAATATTAAAGAAAAGAAAAAAGAAAGAAAGAAAAAAGATTAATTAAACAAGAACATTAAAAAAAATTGCATTTACTGATAATAATAAAATGATCATAAAAAATAAAAGTTAAATATGATTAAATACATTAAAATAAATAAAATAAAAGATAAAAAATAATTTAAAGGATATATTAAATAATAATAAAGGAAAACAAGTATGAAAAAAGTGAAAAGTTAAACATAAAATAAAGAACTTATTATTATTATTATTAAGTCTGTAAAGATGTTCTTTGTTAAATATGGAGCCACACATTCATGTTCCCGGGTTACATCTGGTTCCTCTTCTGGTTTTATTTTCTCTTTAAATGGAAGATATGTTAGAAGCCTTTCTGTAACTGTCTATTCGATCAAAACAGCCTTTTTAAAATAGATTTTAAGTACATACAATTATTGTCAAGCTGCACCATATGAACTTAAGACATGACATAACACTGACGATGTTCAAACATTTCTCTTGTCTTGTTGTTTCCAGGATGTCCAGTGGAGGGTGCTCCTTCCCCTCCCAATCCTGCTCCTCAACCTCTCCACATATGCCCTCCCTCAACCTCAGCATCAAATTGGAGCGTAGCTCTCCGGAGCACATGTCCTCACCCGCCTCCCCTCCTCCACACCACCTCAGGCAGCACTCTCCAATGAGCAACCCCGATTCGGCTCGCCAAACCCCTCCAGAAGCCCGTCCGGCCAATGAGACGAAGGACTTTCCCAAAGCCGGCTACCAGCAGGGCGAAGAGGAAGGAGGGCAGCCCATCAGGCAGTTGGAGATAAGTGATGGGTGGCAGAGATAGCTGGGTGCTGCAGTCTAACACCATCTCCCATTCAATCAGCTATCCTCCATCAAAACCAGTCCTCTCTTACACACACACACACACACACACACACACACAGATATATAACACAGACGATGGGGTCGATTTGTCCCCATCATCCCAGAGAGGATTGCCTCTCTTTGTCTCCTCACACAGAGCTGGTCTCTCCTGGGCGAAGGAGAATTTATCACTCGATCGATCCCACGAGGAGACGAGATGCGTAGACATTTTCTTGGTTAGGTTTAAGTTTTCTGTGTGGAGCTAATGTGAATTTGAAAAATACAATTTGAAATGTGTTTTTTTTGTTTTGTTTTCTTAGCTACAGCAGCACATCGGGACCAGCTGAATTTCTCCAAAGCAGCTAAACCGTCTACGTACATATTTGTTTCTCCCAGCGGTCTTTAGTGTTTGACTGAGGTTTGGTGCGAAAATTGGAAAAATCTGTAAAATTACCTTTCACTGTGTTCGTGTAAATGTTACAGTGAAAAGTAAGGTGCAGATGGAAAATGACTCATCACACCAGCCAGGTTAAACCACTTAGTCTGTGTGTACAGTACACCTTTACACCTTATGCCCCTCTTGTTATATAAGCTTTAATGTTTTAGCCTTTAGCCCAGAATCATTGACATGGTCCACATGAAATCAGCTATCCCCCATCACTGGAGCCGTGGCCTTTTTTCAAATACATTTTGATATTTTAAAGGAGTAATTTACATTTTTTTCTGTCTTAAAACAACATTCTGTTCCCATGGACACTGAAAGACTTTTTGATTGTCTGAAATTATACTTCCTGTCTATCAAAAAATCCCTTCAAAATGATATTCTAATGTAAAGAGATGGGGGACTAAATCCAGTCTGCAGTCTATAACTCAGCTAATTGTAGGCTTCAGTCATTTGAATCAGTCAAATGAAGTTGTTATCTTTAAAATGTTGTGTTTTTAGTACAAAATTCCTACTTCGTGTTTGCCCGCACAGTGTTTCACTGCATTGGTGGAGGAGTGGAAGGATTACTGAACGGGGCTACTGGGCACAGGCCCAGAGGCCCAACGTGTCAGGGGCCCTCCTGGCCTTCACCTACAAAATGTTTTTTAAAGAGACAGGTGCCAACCAGGAAGAGACTCAAAATGACCAAAAAAAAAACATAAAACAACTACAAAGAGAAGCAAAATGACTGCAAAGAGACACAATGCAACTTCAAAGAGACACAAAATGACCACTAAAGAGGTCAAACAACTATAGTAACTGTTTCTTGGCAGGTGGTGGGGTCTTTTGCATGTCTGTTCCCAGGTTGTCTCATAATCTGCCCGTCGGTGGAGGGACAGCCAAGTCTAATTTGTGTTTAGAGCACAATCTCATACTGAAGGAAGGCAAATGGCTTTAGTAGTTTGTACTAAAAATACTGGTATTTTGCCACATCTCAACTTAATTTGTCTCAGATCGGTTTAAGCATCATATAAACTCCAGATTAGTATAAAAATGCATTTTTGCCCCCCCCCACACACACACACACACGTCTTACTGTACATTGGAATCATATTGAGCAGAGGATACACACGGACATTAACAGATGTTTTTACGACAGACTTACAATGAAACATGAAGCTATCCTTTACAGTTCTGGGCGTCAGTGTCTCTCAGGGGCTTGGATGATGTTTTTCTTGGGAAGTTTGAAAACGGCTTATTTCTATCTTTATTTGTGAGATTGTAATGGTGGATAAGCTAAGCTTTAGTTGTATTTTTCCTCCAAATAATGCTACTTTCTATTTTTTACTTCACCCCGTCAATAAAGTTATGGCAGTCTACAACTAAAGACCAAAGTGTTCAAATATCGTCTCTATGCATTGCAATCAAATGCTGCAACAGCCAAAGACACGATGCGTGTGTCTGCATCGGGTCTGATTTAATCTAATGATATCAATCATTTGAAGGGCTTTATTTAGTAGCTGCATAGTGAAGGTAGAATTGAGCTTTACTGACATCATTGTCTTATCTTAGAAATATATGAGTCACCGTGTATTGAATGAGCCTAAATATTCATATTTCATTCAAAAAAACACACACACATTATTTTTATTGAGGAATGTTTTCATTATATCTGTAAATGTGCTTTGCACTGTATTTTTGTGCACTGGATTTATGTTCATTTTAGTTTTTGCATATTCAACTTTTGTTCTGCGGGTTTGAATGAATTTCCACCTGTTGTCCACAAGGGGTCATCTTATTTCACAAAATGTCGTATTTTAAATATTAAGTGCAGAGCAGGGAAGACCAGCCTTAACTATTGGTGATTAGTTATCTAATGAATGAATCTCTATGACAGGACACATGGTTCAGAGGTTCAGCCTGAAGACATGCAACCAATACATCACGACAAACTGCAGAGACGCTTTGCAGAAGTGCTGCTGTGGAATTAGCTCTTTTCATTTTTTTATGCAGTTATGTGGATTAATATCAGCGTGAAGAAATGATCAGTATTCTGATGTTTTTTAGGGGGTTGAGTTTTTATATGTTTGCTGAATGCTTCACTAACAGAACAAAGACAGATTTCTATTTGATATTTGTTGTGATTCCTTTTAAATAAAAAACGGTTTGATTTGTATGTTTGCCTTGCTCTGCTTTTTATTTTCCACAAAGGAAATCTTTCCCTTGCTTGAAAGAAACGTGTCTGTTTTTTTCTTTTTTCTTGTACATTCCAACCTGAAGACAGATAAAATGCCATCCGCCGTGTGGCTATCAAGCTTTCATGTGTCCATTTATTTAGTCTTATCCAACTCCGCTCCATCTTTTTGGACACACTCACTCCCTCATTATCATGTCTGGCCCCTGTCAGGCAGCGCACCACGCAGCCACCAAACGAGAGCAACAAGAATGGGCCACTTAAAAGCCTGGGGACCTTTATGTCTTCAAGTTAAAAAAAAAAAAGGCTCCACAGCTGGTTGTCTCACAGTAACTCTGCCGGTATCCTACAACTATGGAGCATTCACACTCAGAGCAGAGCCCGGGTCCTCCTCTGTCGTCTCTCCTCCCTGAATGAAAGGAGGCTCTCGCTGGGGTCATGTCTGGTCTGCTCCCCCGAGACCAGGCCGGCCCCGTCTGTAGGGCATGTCTGGGTCCTGCACATGCACCGACTTAACTGACTTGGCCCCTCTGCAGTCCTTAGCTCAGACTGTGGGGGGACCCCAGCACAGATGCACGTAATTAATGTGATTATATAGATACGTCAACCTGTCACCTTTCAGTTCATCAGGCCGCGTGCTCTCACAGACCTGTCTGAGGCTCAGAGAGGACCAGAGATCCACTGCTGTACGTTCCCCCGAACAGGAGAAACTCAAACTCAACTCCTCAGTCATGTCTTACAGTAACAGATACATTTTCATTGGACATTTTTTGGCACACTTTCAATGGCACCCATGCATAATACATATGGACTTACTTATAATGCGTTATAATCTGCTTATAGCACTGTATAAAAGCACTCAATAATACTCACAATGCTTTACAACAGTAATCATAACACATAAAGCATTTTGAAATTCATTATAAGGTTAAGTTTAATAATTTCATAATTTCTTGTACACTATACACTTTTGAATGACTTTTAAGTCATAAAATGCATTAAAATGTGGTTGTTGGACAGCATTATGAATATTTATGAGTGCAAAACATAATTATATAATGCTAAAAGCAGATAACACATGAGCGTGTTTAAAATGCTTTATGGACATAGAAAGTGTTCTTTAAATAACAAAATGTAATGCTATTGATACACGACATCCCAAAGCTGAATCTCAACGATAATAGATGGGATGTCAGATTATTTTAACCGGTACCCCCCCCCCCCCCTGAATGTCTTCACTTGACTTTGCGATTGATGACATCCTCCAGTGATGCTCCTGCAGCCAAGTGGCCGTCCCTCCCTAAACTGGAGAACCTTCGTGGCTTTTGATTGGACGTGGAAGTCAAACGATATCGCCAATAAATCATTTTGACTTTCAGGCAGAGCCTCTCCAGCCTCGCTCTGGTGAAAAGGTCACGCTCCTAAACTGTTGATAGACGACCGGCATGTAAATCTAAATGTTTTGATAATGCCACGCAGCTTCTAAATCGAGTTTGAATCTTTTTAGGCCGCACTGACAAATGGAAAAGATTTGGAATATTTCCAGAAAAATACCAGTTCCTGTTGCCAAGTTGAGCCAAGTATTTCTTCCCAAGCTTGTGAGGGACGTCAGGTTCATAGTTACTATCAGTGATTAAAAATGATCCTCTCAGGAGGTTGGGGGTCAGAGATCAGGACCCAGCAAGGCAGCGAGACACCCCATTGTCATGCACGAGGCCTTTTGTCCATCAGAGCACCAACTTTTTAAAAAGGAAATGATTCAATTAGCAGCATCTCCCACGCTCCTCGGAGGGAAAGCAGAATTAAGTGTGAACATCAAGCGGACACGAGTCTGAAAATAATAAATGTTTTATTGAGCCACAAAAAAACAATTCAGTTACAGGTAAAGGTTAGCACACCATGCATTCAGAAAATCAAAAAAAAAAAGCAACATTTTCATGTGAAGTTGACAGTTTAATGATTACAGAGCATTCAATTCAAATATACTATCTGAAAATCAGAAATTGCCATAAAACAATACAAAAATGTTCAGAACAACAGCTTCTGTATTATTTCTAAATAAAAGTTATTCGAGGCAAAGTTTCATAAATAAATAAATAAAATCTACGGACGCAAAACTCGTTCAAAGTAGGCTTTGATCAAACGTACATGAATTATAATTGGCAATAAAAACAGCAAAAAACTAAAAGCTGATGAAGCTAAATAAGACACTGCAACTAAACGTGTTGTCAGTGAGTAGTGTTTGAAAAGGAAGAAAAACAAAACAGAAATGGGTTTGGAGTGTTCATTTCATCCATTAACAGATTCTATTCATTCTACATGCATACGATTCGGGAGAAAGGAGATTTTAAGATCGACTCAAAATCCCTGAGCTCCCAGGCACTTAGGAATACTGAAGGAAAGTCTTCAGCTGTTGGCCGACACACAGACAGAAACCACAGCTGGACTCACGTTCAACATGATGGATCGGAGCCTTACTACACATTTAAAATAAACACGTTACAGCAGAAAAAACAAGAGAACAAAAAAAACATTTAGCACTCTTGAATCGGTTCTTCACGGGGGACGAAGAGTCCCTCGTGACAATATAGTCTTAGCTACACAGGGAGGAAGCACGAACACTTACCCTGGTACCAATTACACATCTTAAAAGCAGCATTTAACAATGTTCTGTTAAAGAACTATTCAGGTAACATTGGCATAGGTACGTCCGAAAAAGGTTTCATGTTGAAATAGCTGATGTCTGGGGGCCTGTATCATGAAGTGACATTCGTGGGTCAGCTGGATATCTTTGGGCTTAACTCCCGTTTATCAGACAGAGTCAAATGTAACTCATAATAAAGTACAACAAAGCAACAGGATGTCTCTTCTAGAATACTGAACATGTTGAAAACACCTAATTCTTACACTTATCTATAGCCGTGAAGGAAATGATTCCACCTATTTCTAAAAGCTTCTTGTGCTATTTAACTTGTGTGATTATACTGAATATCACCTTTTAACACCACAACAAGCTAATCTTCCCTGTGGGAATATCTCTGAGTCGCATTCAGTGATCCTCTCACGGCTCTTCTGATAAACGAGCCAGACAATAACCAGCTTTGTGATACCGGTTGTCGAAGATTGCTGATGTTAGACTCGGTGACAACGGGTAACCCAAAGAGAGCCAGACTAAGTAGATGTTGCTTTGTGATACAGAGCCCAGTTCTCTCGGTGTTATGGATACCAGTAGCCTGCTGGTCACAAACAAAAGCCACAAGGGCAACAAGGTAGTCAATATTGCAACAACAACAGTGTCCATCGCCTGTCTCCTCTCAAAAGAAAAACAAAAACAAAAAAAAACAAAAAAAAAAAACACTTGACCAAACCTTCTGTTACAGCCACGCGGTGCATTCTGTCAGCAGCTGCGTGTTTTGATTAAATATCCCCTTAACTGCTTTTGTGTTGCTGCAAAGGAAACCTGCAGGCAGTAGAGGGCTGGAGCTGCATCGCAGGTTGAGCACTAGTCAGTTAGTTCTGCATGAGGTACTGGTGGAAGTAGATACCAAACAGAGAGCTGATGACCTGGCAGGCGGCCACCCACCACGTCAGGAAGGCGAAGAGACCTCTGAAGAAGAGCGGAGTGAGGACGGACCGCAGCGCCACGAAGGCCTCCGACAGGCGAGCCACTGTGGCCTGGATGTCCTCCTCCATATCCTCCATCCCCTCTTCGTCTTCATCGAGACCGCCGGGCAGCACGGGGGCCGCGGTGGGCATCACCAGTGCTGGTGTCACCCCGGGGGCCCGCTCTACACCGGGGGCCCAGGAGAAGTCTCCTACAAGATCAGTAGAGATCAGGCAATATTTAGAGTTTACAGCTCAACTTGGGAGAAAAAGAGGAAGAAAGTAGACCCTCGGAAGAAACCATTGTGATGCTTCACCGTCTTAACATTTACAATGGATGGGTCTAATACTTAACTCCACTGTTGCTGCAAATGTCTCAGTGTGACATTAAGAGGAATAGCTTGACATCTTGGGACATTTGCTTTCATACTCTTATATCTGTCTTGTAGATATATAGCCACAGCCAGCAGCTTGCTAGCTATCCAGGTTAGAAACAACAAGCCTGGCTCTGTGCGTAGGTAACACAATCCGTCAGCACATCTAAAGATCACTAACATGTTATGTCTCGTTTGTTCAATCCGGAGGTTATATGCTGGACAATTTTTGTCTTGAAGCAGCAGCTGTTTCACCATTTCCAGAGTTTATGCTATGCTAAGCTAGCTGGCTACTGGCTGAGGCTTCATATTTAACAGACAGATCTCGTCATCCAACTCTCCACAAAAGAGCGATTAAACATTTTTCACAAAATGTCGAACTATTCCCAGAAATCTATATTTTGCAATAAAGAGTGGTCTCTTCCTCTGATGCAGTGGTCATGATGGTGGTGTTTTACTTACCTAGTGCCTTGAGTGCCAGTGTGGAGAAGAGGATGAGAAAAACAGGAACCAGATACTGAAGAGTAATTACCGTCAGGTAGCAGAAGATACGAGTGACCTGAAAAACAGCATATTTATTCTCAGTTAACGGTTGGGGAGTTTTCCCTTTTCTAATTCCAGTAAACCTTCGCTTTATGTAAAAACTTCTGGATTCAGACGGTTTCCGAGCTCAAGTCCTTCATGAATATCTGACCTTCCTCTGAATGTCAATAGCAGCGATACGTCCCGCCTCCTTCTTCATCTGCTCCACCCACTTCTGAGCCAGATTGAGGTAGGCCTGCAGGTGGTAGCGAGTCAGTAACAGCCGCAGCACACACGACCCCACGACGATCCACAGGCGCATGCAGTCAAATGATTCACTGGAAACTCTGCAAGCGGGAGATTTTGAGAGGATCAGAAAAAGTCAAATGTGGCCTTTGGAGGACATCTTGCATTAGTGGTGATTGTTTCTGTCTTGAGAATTAGTTGGAGTGGATAAAATAAGCATATATGTACGTGCACTCACATCGTTACTGAAGTCTTTCCCATAGGTGCATTGGCCAGGAAGTCCCTTGCGATGGGTTTCACCCACAGAATCAGCACAATGACTGGAGAGAGGAAACTCAGGTGCAGCAGAATCCTGCAGGAAACATTAATGACATCTAAGAAAGCAAAATACTGCTAACGGAATGTTTGTTGATCAGACATAGAGTACTTGTTGGAGTTGCTTATTGCGGTGGTAAATGCATCAGTTCTTACTGGATGAGTGGTCGGTCTGAGTTCATCTGTACGGCATCTAGATGCGTCTGAGCCAATCGCAGGCCGGGGAACGCCAGCAGAGCACCAATGTAAGCAGAGAAGGCGGCCAGACCGAGCTTCACGGTCAGCTTGGTCATTGGGATTCTGAAGGGAGTCAAAACAACAAACGTTAGGGTGCGTCTAGCACAAATATTTGTCAGGTAAAGTCTCTGTGCGACTCATGCATGGTACTTAACCAAGGAGGTGTCTCTTATCGCATGATGCAACGTCAATCAGTAAACTAACAACTTGTCTTTGCAGGAACAGATACTTACGACCAGTCAGCGTAGCCCTGCTGTTTGGCAAAGACTTCCAAGTTGTCAAAGAGGTTGGAAAAGCCCGACTCCAGGCCGAACTCCAGGTAGTCCTCTCTGACCACAAGAACCAGCATGGCCACGAGCAGAGACAGGAAGCCAAAGGCAAGGCACACCGAGCGCTCGCCGCCCTCCTCAGAGAGGAAGTAGTGGCTCATGAGAGTGTGAAGGGTCTTTCTGAGGGTTGTGGGTTAAATCAAAACAACCAAGAGGAAAAGTAGCGTTCATGCAGTCCAACACTCCCCATGTTTTAGGTCACTGTGTCTTTAAATAAGCTAATTCTGTTCAATTGTTTACAGACATATGTAACAAGGTGACTTCACAGTTGAAGGATACACACTGAAGAGAACAGTCAGGACACACCAGATGGCTCCGAGATTGACCTCTTTGCTGGCATCCACCATACTGCAATAACCCTCAGTGAACAGGAAGACGACGGTTGCATAGACGGCAAAATCTATCAGCCACTGGTACTCCAGGAAAAACCGCAGCACTGAAGGCAGAAACAAGACAAATACATGAGTAGGCTCAGAATGTTAATCAAAACTATGATCCATGATTTCTTATCAAGCAGGGACTACGAAAAAAATGTATATACTGTAAATGCATTGCGAGTCAATAGCGGAGCTTGAGCGGTGTTTGTACATGACCAAAGTCACCGTGATGTGGATAAAGTAGCGTTTACTTACCGAGCGAGTCAAGGGCTTTGACTGGAGCTTTGTCCAGGTGAAGGTCAATGTCTTTGGGCACAGTGAGAGGCTTACTCTCCCCGTTCTGCCTCCTAGAAATCAAACAAAGACGACACACGACCACGTGAAGGAATAGAATAAAAGAAGGAAAAGTGGCCTCTTTCTAGAAGTACAGTCCAGCGCTGGCAACACAAAGGCATTACTCCATCTTTATTTCTAAAGGAGTGCACAGATCTAGACATAAGATTTGTTTTTAAAGACAATTTCTTCCTCCAGGCAGCTTCATGTTGTTGTGACTCCCTTCTTTATCATCAGACCTCTCCCCCAACTCCCACCTGTCTCTCCTGGTCGGTTTGGGCATCTGCTTCCCTGCCAGTGCGCACAGCTCTCCCTCTGACGGGTGTTTGAACCGGAACAAGCTGAAAGGAATGACAGGCACATGTATGTATGTATGCATGCATGCATACAGAGCACATTCACATTATGCGTTTGTATAACCTGATTGTAAGGGGTTATTCTACCTGCCATTGCAGATGAGCCAGCGTGCAAATGAGCAATGTGGCGCCATCCTCTGCATGATGCAGGCGGCCAGCAAGCTGACCACCAGCTGGATTCCCATCAGCGCCTGTCAGAGCAAACACACACATGTCTAAGTATTAGATCCAACTGTAAAAACACCCTTTTAGGACATGAAATCAGCTAATGTGTGTCAGCAAGTACTGCGTCAGAGAGTATGCGGGCCTTGTCTACAGTTGTGACAGTCAGTCAAGAGCGTATTTAAATGACCTAATAAAGTTTATAGAACAGGCAGTTTTTGCCGCAACAAAGGTGAGTTACTCCTCATATCACAGGCTGCGGTAGATGTCAAGTCGCATACCATTCTAAAACAGCCAACAGTGAAAAATACATTAAGCATAGGATGTGTTGAAAGCTCCTGCAAAATGAATGAAAGTTAGCAAATGGCTATCGTGCTAAATTTAGTTCAACTTCGCCACCTGTCATCGCTTCCGCAAACGTTAGCTAGCTAAGTAGCTAGCATTAGCACACTAGCTCTCGTGGTGACCAAATATAGGCAAAAATAGCTCCAATGCGAATTTTTACATCAGGCCGTTAAGACTGGTGACTTCATGCCTGGTGTGTTGGTGCTTGTGAATTAACTTACCATCTCTACCCTCGAAAGAAAGACGTGGTTAAGACCAGAATAGCTGATGCCGAGAGCTTCTTCACATGCAGGAAAGTCTTGACAGCTGAATCAACTGGCATGTGAAACTGCTGAATGTCCCGGATGTAGTAGTGGAGCCGGGCGCTGCCTTCGCGTGCTCCCCCGGAAGTCTGTAAATTGGAAGACTTGTAATTCTCTACCAGCGCAACAACGTATGCTACTGTTTCATAACATGTATCGCACTGCTGCGGGTTATAAGTGACGTTTCACAATTAAAACACGAGGTAAGATACAACATTAAACTACAGCAGTAGTCAGTGAACGCGTTACCGTCCACTGTACTGTTTTTATAGGCTTTTGCAAATAAAGCAGCACATTAAAAGGACATGTTGATATCTCTTAACAGTTGACTTACTGCACAGCCGCCATTTTTAAGATGGGAAGAAGAGAGGAGTTGATAAAAAAAAAAAAATACTCATGGCAATCAGAATCAGAACCGTTTATTGCCAAGTATGTTACACAGTGCAATAATCTAGGTTCCTTTAATTTATTCCTGCACTCTCAGCAATTGGCTAAACTTTATAAGCCGCATTGGATTTTGTTTGCCCTGTTTTTCCTCTGTTTTTGTTTAATATTCCCCTAAAAGGATGCAAGAATTGACCATTATTCAAACATAAGGAAGTAAAAGACAGTCATGTTTTCTGCTGTCTGATGTAAAGATGCATATACATTATTTATCTGAAAGCATGAGGCTTAAACAAATATATGATTTTAATTGGCATTAAGGTATTAATACTACTGCAATGAACATGGCATTCAACATAGCATTAGGCTTTCATTGACTTGTAGTAACACGGACAGTAATACATTGTTTTTCCACATTATTACTGTTGGACATACACAGTTTGTCTGAAAAATATAGAGCAGACAAGTGTACAAGTTAAGACATATTCTCTTCCAAATAAAGAAAACATGGAGAAAAAGAGGAGCCTATTAATGTATCCAGCTGAGCAGCTTTAATTTCACCAACATGCTCCCACTCCTCATCTCTAATTAAAATGTAAAATGTTGCCCGTCTTAGTTCCTTGTTCTTCTCAATACCCCTGAACACCTCCGTGAGATCCTCCTAATGATAATCTCCATGTTTCATGCTTCCGCCATCATGTATCTGAACATTTCATTGGATGGAAACAAACATTATGCAAATGGTGAAGCTTAAAGTCTCAGATATGCTCCTCTTACGCTCTACTTTGGCATTAAAACACAGACACCAGGGAGGGGAGCGAGAGGAACCGGGGATTTTAGTGTAATCATGAACTAAAGTGTTATTTTTCCATTTAGATGGATAAAATTAAGGAAATACTTCATAATACCAACATTGTTATATTCAAACCTGTAGACAAAGTATATATATTTGTAATTTCTTTGATTTATTATGTTGTTTGATTTCTTAGCCTCAGATTATTATCAACCATGAGGTGTTTGGGAAGGGCGACAGCTCTGGGTGCACTGATGCATCCTCCGTGTGTGGTATGCTTGGTCACTCAGGATGAGAATGATTGTCCACACACACACACACACACACACACACACACTGGCCTGCACATGCATTATAATGTCAGCTCATCCTCTGTGAAGCGGAGGCCCGTGTGCCTCCAACAGTGCCGGGTGTTTCCAGCAGCACGCCCTCCAAAGGATCTCTTTCCAAAAAACCATTCACCACATTCTAATCTGTGTTTAGCATGTGCGTTCATGTTATTTGGGTGGTCTGCAGAAGTTGATTGAATTCCCACTTTTCTGCTAATTGGCGGCACCCCGTCTGCTGAAGATGTGTCTGATCCTTTGCCCCCGTGAATTTGCGCACAGGAGCATGACATTTCAATGAGAGCTGTGAATTCGATCAAATGGAGCTTTGTGCGACGAAGCAGCAGCATCTCCGGAGGGCACGTATGTGTATGCGCCAGCGGGCAGATGTCTGTAAACATGAATCACATAAAGTTAGTTGTTCAGCTCGATATCAAACTCTGTGTGGTTGAGCCTACACCCTGAGGCAATTAGTCAATGCCATTCTGAGCAATGGAGCGATCACATTTTAATTACAATTTCATTTTTGCATATTACCTTAAAATCAATAAAGGTGCATGTTTCTGCATCTCTTGCTGCAGAGTATAAAATATACACAGTATGTAGGACCAGACATGCTTAAAAATCATTTTTTGCAAGTTCAAGTCAATGTACTGTATCATCACTCCCTTATCTGTTAGAATACAGTACCAACCCAACAAGCCCATTGGTCCACCAAACACAGGACTTTCAACCACAAGACATGGTGTTTGACACCACGTGTCCCAAAGTATTGTTTTGGTTTTGTTTCCTAAACCTAACTTTTGTTTTGCAATATAATGTCATCCCTAAAATTAAGTTGTTCCGAGCGACAGCAAAAAGACGGACAATTCTTGTCCCTGTACTCAAAACCAATGGATCTGTGAGGAGCGAGTACAAGTCAAGTCTTAAGTTTTGGAGGGGCAAGTCTAAGTCAAGTTTTGAGTCTTTAAGAGGCAAATCCAAGTCTGAATTCGTTGAGAGAGAAGTCCAAGTCAGGTTTCAAGTCTTTGAGGGCCAAGTCTCAAGTTTTTGAGGGCCAAGTCAAGTCTCAAGTCTTTGAGGGCCAAGTCTCAAGTCTTTGAGGGCCACGTCCAAGTCAAGTCTCAGGTCTTTGAGGGCCAAGTCCAAGTGAAGTCTCAGGTCTTTGACCCAGAGTTCAAGTTAAGTTTCAAGTCTTTGACGGGCAAGTCCAAGTCTAGTCTTAAGTCTTCAAGGGGCAAGTCTCAAGTCGTTGAGGGGAAAGTCCAAGTCAAGTCTCAAGTCATGTAGGGGCAAGTCCAGGTCAAGTCTCAAGTCATATAGGGGCAAGTCCAGGTCAAGTCTCAAGTGTTTGAGGGGCAAGTCCAAGTCAAGTCACCAGTCAATGTGTGTGACTTAACTGCAGTCTCAAGTCCTAGTCCGTATCTCTGGTATTGACTGATGTGATGAACCAGAACATTTGAGAACTCGATGACCTGTTACATGTAAATAATGCAACATAAAGAGATGCGTGTTGTTTCATTCGCCGCCATAACACCGTCTCCTTTTTCTAACGCCAACATTTGCCATCAGTCACAAGCAGCGAAAATATGCAGAAACACATTTAACATTCTGTACATTTGCCCAACATCTCCGACATTAAACTGTCAGTCACACTGTGAGAAGAAATGTCTCTCTCTCTGGGTGGAAAAACACTTCCATAATCATCATCTTTGACACAAATGCTAATCCCTCTGCCATGTTAGCCATCTGTGGCTGAAGTGGCGGGGGCAGAAATTACTGAGGAAAATGGACACAAATAAAATGCTAATTCACCACAGGCTACAAGTGGATCCCCTCCCTCTGCTCAGCTCGGGGGGCCTCTCGGTTCCCACACCACTTCCCTGTGTCTCTCCCAGGGTGCTGCTGGGATACCGGCGGCTGCTTTGGAGCCCGCAGCAGGGATGCGCCCTCCGATTGGCTCGTCTTTGTTTGCCCCCATGCATGGCATTCATCGGCCGATTTGAATATATGCAAATGTTGCAATGGTGCCCCGTCAAAGGAGACTCACCACCACCACCACCGTGTGTTTTTTCCCCCGTCTCCCTTCATTTTCCCCGCTCTTTTCCTTTTTGTCTCTCCCCTAACTGCTGCAGATAGCTGTGGGAACCATCTACAGAGGGCCAGATCTGCTTTGCCACAGGGATTTATTTAGTAGTGAGACTCATGACTGTTAATTACACAGGCACACTGTATATCATAAGGAGGAGAGAATAAAGGTGTAAAGGTGATGCACGGCTTCAACCTGGTCGCTCGTTAATGTCTGTGCTGTATACAGTCAAACCAAATATCTCAGTTGTATGCGTGAGATGTGATGGTGCAGACGCATGCAAGCAAATACTGTACATATTTAGCTGGTTACAACAAGAACTTTGCATGTTGTGTATATATATATAGTATATATATATATTGTTGGTTCAAACTTGCAGTCCAAGTTTGTACGGTAAAAAAAAAAGAGACAGACAAAATATGAAGATGTAGCTGAGTCATATTTTGACTCTATAACATCAACAATGACTCCGTTCGTGAATTGATCGTGAGCCAAAATGCACAATACCAGGACTCTTCATCACTCTTCAACCATCATTCATGTGATCGTTTATACGCTCCTCCTGCTGTGACACTTCATAATGTCTTCCGTGAAAAATGCCTCTAATAACAATAATCTCGCCCACAGCAAGACCATTAACGCATCACAGTAGAACTCGTGCTCTGCATTCATTTTACATTTTCTTTGGCTCGTCTACTTTTCGGGGGTCCAGATTGGAGCAGAGGAGAATTATCCGGGCCTGGCTCTGCTGTCATGTGTTAAAGCCGTTCCTCGGGCTCGTCCTCACACAGATTCTGGATTTGGTTGGCACGAATCATTGCACACTTAAAGCTACTGTAATTACGCAAATGTATGCTGCTAATCGTATTTCACTGAGTGTTTGTAACGCACAGGATCCCGTGGGTGATCCGGCATGCACAGATGGGGGATGTACATGCACACACAAAGACAAACGCCAAAGGTGTCATTTGTCACGCTTGCTCTGTTTTGCACTATTTCCTTTGAACCTACGGTGTCAAATGAAAACATGTTCACACAAAAATGTTCATTTACACTAAAAGAACGACATATTAGACATGTCTCTAACATGGACTTACAGTCCTCTTTACACAAACTCTTAACTCATTTATCTTTTCAAAAATCTTAAACTCGTGTATTTGTTCTTCATCTACATCCCCACCTTTGTGCTGGATGTATATATTCAGTTTTTATTCAAAGGAAATATATGTAATAATGGCTTTTCCGTGGCTCACCGCATGCTTCATGAAAGGAAGAAGCCTTTCATATTTTGTTTATCCAGACACTGCATGCTCTAAAGAGGCCGCACCAGTGTCCATCTGTAAGAAGCTGTTTACCTGTAGTCTATTGAAAACCCCCACCCTTTTTCCAGCGGATAAAAACAAATGCAATGGTTTTGTAATCATTTTACTAATTTTAAAGGTTTAACAAATGAACATATACATCTTATTTATTACTAGTCAAATACATTTTGCTCCAGATGTTGTCCTTTTTTCCCCCAAACACAATTAAAGCTGCAAAGTTTCTCATTTTGTTCAGAAATGTTGTTTGTTATAAACGAAAAACACCTTTGTGTGGGAACGTGATACATTCATTTTGTTCTCATTGATCAGCTATGTGTAACTGTGTTACAGTGGAACCGGCCTCCCGCCCCCCCCCCCCAGTGAATTAGCTCTGTGCATTAAGGTGTTTTGAATGACAATCGTGCGCACTAGGCGCTGAGCTTGAACTTGACCGGCAGAATTGCCTGGGAAAAGAGGCGCGACTTTGGCCCTTTGCTCCCCTCCTTTATGGAGAGGAGGCTGTTAAGACTGATGTCAGCGCTCATTTGCATGAACTTCAGCCTGTTCCCAATTAAACCAGGAAAGCAGTGAGAGCGCCGGTCTGTTTTCACATGGCAGGGAATGAACCAACATCTCTCTCTCTCTCTCTCTCTCTCTCTCTCTCTCTCTCTCTCTCTCTCTCTCTCACGAACACTCTGAGCATCAGAAGAAGCTGCTGCAATGTAAGTTGATGTTTTCTTCAGTTGGAACTGTCTTAAATTGGGTTTGATTTATTTTATTTTTAAATCATTTTCAAATGTTTGTGTTTGTTCTGGATTTAATCTACAGATTTTTGCAAATTTAATCTACAGATTTAATCATTTTTTTTGCAAATTCCTTCTATCTTTCATTTTGTCTTTCTGTTAATGAAAGTGAGGCTTGTTCATGTGGGAATGAAGTTCACATGACACCTGCAGTCGGTCTCTCGCCCGAAGGCCTGAATGTGTAAGAAATGAGCATGCGTGGCATCTTTGGTGTCTTTCATGAGTCTGGAGGTTTTACTCCCTGGTTCTTTATTGACACATTGAAGTGCTGCTCTATTGAAAGCTTGTGCATTAGGCAAACCGAGTGTATCTGCAGTACAGTATTTCGTCATGTCAGCCTAATGCAGGAGGCTGTAAGTGCTCCTTACTCACCTGTTTGAGAGTCGAACTGACTCCTTCATTCGTTCTTGTTCTGTGAGACTTGGATTTGCAAAAGCACAATGACTTGAGGTTTATAGAATGTGAAAACAATGCATTTGTTGTAATATTTGTTGCCATTTCTTTATAAGCTGCCTAGCATACTGAAAGCTTTGTTTTATTCCCAATGAGAAATGCTTCCATCATGCTGCTGTGTCTGCAGCACTAAAGGAAACCAATGGGGCTTTACATTCGTATGAACATATCAACTGATCTGTGTAATGTTCCTCCACCAGCACAAACACCAACAAGAAACAGATGTAGGGAGTTTCAGTACAGACACATGCTGCTGCTGCTCTTGATATGCAGTTCAACTTGTCTGACAAATGAGGCAGCACTTATAAATGTTTAGACCACAAGGATTTCCTGCAGATAAGACGATACCGTAGCTGAATAATACACATCTGTGGAATCGTTTTACCAATATTTTTTTTGGATTTCAATATTTTAAAATCCTTTGTACATGCCATGCACCTCTACCACCACAAAGTGGTAACTTATTACAATGAGCTGCTATTAGGTGATGATTTGGGAACATGACAGAGTGAAGGATAAATATTTGCTCCCTGCTGGTCCTCATGTGTGACCTCTGACACCTTTCAGGTTAAGCCTCTTTGAAGAGCGGCCATTACAATTCCCAGAAGTGGCCACTTCAATTGGTCAGTTATTAACGACTGAGCCCAACAGGGCTCTCCGGTGTGGTCACGCATGATGACCACGCAGTCAAACAAATCTGACAGAAATGGATGAATTTAAGGCGGAAGCTTGTTTGATCTGGGAGAGACAGGATTTGATGTGTGAGTGTGTGTGTGTGTGTGTGTGTGTGTGTGTGTGTGTGTGTGCAGTGTAGTTTTAAAGTGTCAACTAGTTCAATTATATATATATATAATTGAAACTATTCAACAAATGTGAAAATGTGAGTTATTGAGGCCATTTCTTCTCGTGAACAATATGGTTACATATCAGATAATATCAGTATTTTTAGAGAATTAACAACTGAAGAATATTTTAGAAAATATGAACAAAAATTCTGCAAATCACACTAAATTACTGAGTGAATAACTGCAATAATTTATTCAATATATAAATACTCTTCTCTCTTTTGAAGGTCTTAAAACGGGAGAGGACCAGTCCTACTTCAGATTTATACTAAAGCAGAAATCAAACAACACAAAATAATAATGTTATTGGTAATTCAGAAGTTAATGAGCATCAATGATCTTTATTCAGTAAATGTTCATCTGCGCTGAATCAGCTTTGCTCGTTTGGTTGGCCCCCTGTGTTCGGCTGATCTCTGCGTTTCATTGATTTTAAAGACCAAGATACAAAACTTAAATAAAAATAATACATTATAAATAAGATTTATAATGTATTTTATAAAGAACAATGTATTTATTACGCATACTTTGTATAACTGTGTAATTTCCGCTGAGGTATATCTTTTCTCTGTTGCTGCTAAAATGATTTTACTTCTGTATAATTAATCGGCCACATAAACCAAATATCTATTTAAGTAATTTAAAAAGTAGGCTTTTAATTCCAAAAATATTGAATTATATAATGATGAACAAATGAACAAATAAAGCCAAATTATATTACGGTAAGAACGCACCTTTTCTTTTCAGTACCTCAGAATTAAACCACAGGATTTACTGACGATGCGATTCTAAAGATATTTAAAAACATAATTTTAGTTTTAAACCGAAAAACAAAATCTTCGAGAAACTTTAATGTTTTAGAGCCTTTGATGCATTTGTTTAGAACAGTATACACACCTGTATTTTCTGTATATTCCTGTGTCATCCTCTTCATAAAGAGAAACGCAGTAGCAACTAATAGACACAACAATTCCTCCGCTATTTTTATGAATCTAAAACACCCCATAATATTATTACATGTTCTATTACAGCTCTAAGAGAGAGAGAGACTATTAATGATAGCCTGTTGTTAAAATAATATCATCATTATACTGTTGTGTAGCCTCACATATTTACCTCTCCACGTGCCTCGGTACTTTAAGGTGAATTACGTTTTTTTTCTGCAGATTTGTGCGATTATAGAATGATTTCTTCTATTTCCACCGTCACGCGGGCCTGTACTTGGTAATTATTCGATAATATCCACATATGTAGGGACCTTCATGACAACAAAAGATTTACCTTTTTACCCACACTATCATTTCATTCATTATCGGTTCAGACTTTTCTAAATTCATCAACGTTTCTTTTCGTTTAAATACATTTAGAACATTTAGAAGACGCCACTTCCTGCATCAGAAACACGATCTCTTTGTCTGTGGAGTTTGAGAGTTTGAACATGTTCGACTGCATTCATTTTAGAGGCTGCGTTTCTATAATGTTGTTGTGATTCGGTTTGATGTCGCTCTATGGAGGAATATTCAGCGTGTAGTTTGGATTTAGGCCATTCAGACCTGCGCAGGCCTGAGCTGCAGTGCTGCGTCTCCGCCGCTAGGTGTCGCTGTTTCCCTCGGATGGTCTGAAGGTTCTCTGAGATGTTTGATTGTCATCATCGCCTCGTGTTCTGCGATGTGGAGTTTCGAGAGGAGGCTGAGTGTGTTGCTGTTGCTTCCCATGATGAGCTTTGTGTTGTTTTGGAGAAGTGTCGTCGGCACAGCTCGTCCTTAATGACAAAGCTGTTTGAATGTGAAGGCCTATTAATAATAAGGCCCACTGCAGGCTGCCGTTCATTTATCAGGTCGTTCAAAAATGATCCTTATGCGAGTATGGACGAATAACAGGACTCTCTTGTCTATGTTAGTATAATTAGAGCTTCACTAACAGCTTGTTGGTCATTTAATTTAAAAATGAAATGTACATCTTTAGATAGAAAATATAATTGATATCATATTTCTGAAGTATTGTTTTGTAGATAAAGTATAGATAAAGTAGCCTTAATTTATTTATTCCATGTGTCAGAAGTGGAGGCTGTCCTAATAATAATAATAATAATAATAATAATAATAATAATAACAATAACAATAACAATAACAGTAATAACAATAATAATAATAAGACAATAATAATAGAAATGCTTCTTATGCTGCCTTAAAACGTTGAATTAAAGAAAGTAGAAGAAAGACAAATTGTGACCTATTTATTCTTGGATGGTCTGTTAGGGTCATTTTGTTATCGTAATCATTGTTTGCACCAAAAAAACAGCTTCCAATTGATAAAGAGTATTGTTCCTTATATAAAACGTACCCTAGTCCAGTTTTTACTAAATACTTACTTCTACTAAATTGTCATCTGGAGACACACGCAAAGCACAATACACACACTATTCTTTTCTTTTTATTTAGAAATTCATTTCAGAGTGAGAATTGTTTTATTTATTATTTCTTCACAAAATAATGCAACAAAATAAAGATCTTATGAATCCATCAGTGTCAGCATCACAAACTAGACATAAAACACAAATCAGTGTTGTTGAGAACACGAACGAGCCTCTGCCGTGATTCCCTAACGCAGGCGCAGTGGAGAACATATTTGGAATGACCTATCCTGGCGCCTGACGTCAGCGCGTAAACAATTATCAATGACTAGTTTTGTTGCACGCAGCGTTGACTCTCCTTTTGGTGCCTGCAGTCTGTAGGTATGTCTTACTGACTTTCAGATTCAGTAGCTTTTACTCTGTTTATGGTTGAACATTTGGCACTTGTTTATCCACCGTGCGCTCCGTTACGCACAGAGTGGAATGGAGACGTCGCACCACGTAAAAGCAACGTGACCCACACAAGCTCTAGGGAACCAAGCTTCTGCTTCTCTTGGCGCTGCTGAGGCTGCGGCAACAGCATCGCACACTCCGCTGCTGCGTTCAACGTCTCCATCTCTCACAAATCGTTTTCACTTTTACGCATTTTTCCCCCTTGCAGCCTGAACGTGAGGACACTACAATTTTGAAATGTACAGTCGTTGCTGCTGCTGGTTAGTAGCTCGTTCTGGCTCCGTCTTCCTGCAAGATGTTGACTCAGGTGCTTCAGTCGAGCAAGGTGTAGGTTTGGAGATCGCTGTTCAGTGGAGGTCTCTCTCCTGCTGGCTTCACTGCACAAAACGGGCTCTCTTTCCGGTGCCGCGAGGACCTCACTGTGCAGCTGACTGTGGGGAGACAGGGGGAGGATGGAGCGTGCTGGGTGATGAGGAGTGTAGGTATCTTCTATGGCACATTTGTGATAACACCTTCTGCCAAGCTGATATATGCTTTAAAACCACGTGGCGTCGTTTTTTGGTGCACTCGTCCCTCCACCAGACAAAATCTAAAATGTTGGGTTCTGCTGTGTCCGTCTCCCTAAGAAGGTCCTCAGTGGTGCCTTTCCTCCCACCCCCTTTCTGCAGCCAGCGGAGGCTGCGGCCGTGAGCCGCACGTGCACGTCGCTCCCCACGTCTATCAAATGTTGCCAAAAACGACGCTGTGTGCAACTAAAGAGGGAGACGCGTCATTCAAACAGAACAATGGACATCAGTTCACAATGGTCAACGCATAAGTGCTGCGAAATGTGTTTGGGTTTCTGTGCACGTCGTCCATAGCAGCCGGTGCGTGCGTGTGTGTGTAAGAGAGAGAACGAGAGGTAGAGAGAGGGGGGAGAGAGAGAGAGAGAGAGGGAGAGAGAGAGAGAGAGGGAGAGGGAGAGGAGGGGACCAGCGACGCAGCAGCTCCGCGCGCACTGTCATCCGAGGCTGGGGAGGAGATGTTGGGATGCGGGAGAGGATGCTGGCAGCAGTGACGCCCCGGCCTCGGCTTGTCTCTGCTCACTGAAGCGAAAGTAATGCCTTTCATTTCATTTTTAAAAACACAAGTGTGGGTCGGATCAACTCATTGTGCAGGTTTACTCAGTCAGTGAAGGCGTGCAACGTTTGGGTTTCTCCCTGGACTCCTGGCTCTGATAGTTTGGTAAAAATACTGCGTGGACTTGAACCGGAGGTGCGGGATTTATTCAAAGTTTACGGCTTGTAAGTATGATTTTTTTTTAATGTTTTATTTGTGGAGTCAATACGAGGATATTAGAAATTCGAATGCTTGACTATTTGTTATATCATAGTATAATAATGATGTATGTAGTAAAATACAACTATACTCAGACAACATTCCCTTGACATTATGGTTGAAGTAAAACAGAAAATTGCACTTTGATTTAAATAGTGAACCCTAAAGTGGTGAGTGGCAGCAGGCTGCTCCTTCCCATATTAGCGGGAGCATCCATTGAGCGGTGATGAGGCGGGCTGAGTGGCCCCAGAGCTGCGTTTGTAAAGCAAACAGTTGTGTGATTGTTAGCAGAGCCTGGGAAAATGTCCCCTTGGCTGGGAGGTGGAGGGACTTGACGCCAGAGCCTCTTGTTAAAAAAAGACTTGTGTGCTCCCAGACAGCATTGTGATGCTAATGAGCACCAGCACGTTGTTGAACTTGATGTTGACTTTTTTTTTCTTTCTTTCTTTTGAAGATTTTTTTTTCTTTCTCTTGTGTTCTTTTTTTTTCTTGGTCACTTGTTTGTGGGAAAATCCTCTCCGGGGCTGCAGTGTGAAATTAATTAATCAGGTCTTTGCAGTTAACTACAATGGAGAGCCATTAAAAACACACACAGTCACTTTTGTTGTTTTTTGTTGTTTGTTTAGTGTTTGATGATAAAGTTTATTTCGTAAAACATGTTCTAAAAAGAGACGAGACACTTACTGGGATTATTTTTTACTGATTTCACATTTTAATGGGTACACGATTTCTTTCTCCAAAACCAAAATGAACAGTTACGTCAAATTATTGCATATTTAAATACCTGACATTTTATTTTATAAATAATTGTAATGTTTGAATACAACACATGTGACTGGTTTGTCATTGAAATTATTTTAATTTAATTTATAAACAAAATATTCGAGCAGAATTATCGCATTTTCAAAGCATTATTACAACATGCAGTTTCTTTCTTTCTTTCTTTCTTTCTTTCTTTCTTTCTTTAATACAGTGCAACAGGTGTAGGCTTCCTGAAAACAGAATTACCAGAACTGGACTGGACTTGAAACACATCATTTCTCATGCCACATAAAATCAAACATGCAACACTATATTCATCCTAAAGATGTCTTGTGAAATGTAACTTAAATTGACTTCAGCACACACAATTTAGCTCTGAATATAATAACTAATGCCATCGTAAGAACTATATGTAAAATTCGGATGACATATATATTTTATTTAACTATGTGCTAAAGTCAAATTTATTCTGTTAAATATGCCAGTTATAGCAAAAATTAGAGTTAGGAAGAAAATCATGATATGTTTTGCTTCTCGAAGTCTGTTTGCAGATTGTGATAATCATTCTCAGTGTGTGATTTATTTCATAATTTAATTTAAAAATAGTTTGAACGGGAAAGTGTCACTGTAGGTGAACTGTTGTGCTCCATGTTGAACGCGGTAGTTTGACTCCGATCAGAATATGACAATTATTTTCCTACGTTTTCATACTCGCTTCTCTTTTCTAAATGTGCTTTTATTAAATTGCATTAGATCCCAGTAGGTGTATCTCTGCCTGAACAAACCCGGACTGTTTAAGTGTTTGTTTCTTCACCCTCCGATTTGAACACAGCGCCGTGAATTCATTGAATTCGTTTCAGCACCAAGGACAGAGACTGTACTCCTCCCCAGCGGTGCTGAACTCGAGTCTCTGTACAGTTTTCTCTCATTTTCTTTTTAAATCGAGCACTTTTCTCAGGCATGATTCAGTCACTGCTGGTGCATCTTTGTTTCTTTAGATATTGTTTGGAAGTTTGGCAATGACAGCAACAAAAGAGAGAGAAAAAAATCCTTTATTTTCCGGAGTGTTTAGCAAAAGGCTTTAAAAAGCCACATGGAAGGTGAATTAATGAGTCTGTCGAGTGACTCACGTTTTACTTTTATCATTGAAATTTGTTAGACAAATAGGAGCAAAGAATAAGACATTGAACACCATGCACAGACTACAATAGAATAGAATAGAAAAGTCGAAGTCAGTGTAAGATGTTACACACCTTAATGTACGTCTGACAGGATGTGACGCAGTCAGGGGGCGTGTTCACATGAATTCACGTTAGGCTGATGGGAGGGAGAGCTGAGAGTCAATCAGGTTTAATTTACAGTACAATTATGGTTTCAGCAAAGGCAGAGCAAAATAATCAGAAACGCACACACACGCACACACACACGCACACACACACACACACACACACACACACACATTAAAACAGTTGCTTTGACCTTAACACCAGCCACTATTCCTTCTACTTAATTCAAACACGTTTGAACATGAATCATATTTTAATAAATATCTCTCTTCAACTAATCATCTTATTTACAGTAGTAGTCTGTATATAATTTGAGAAAAGAATTAAATGACATTTCTATCATGCATTTTATGTTTCTCAAACACGACGTCTTCATTATGGATTCATTGAGGATGGGGATCTTATTTTGAAAAGATGAAACATTTTTCCCGTGATAAATTTCCTTTTTTTTCTCTCCCCTGAAATTCTTCCTCCGCCAAAGAAACAGCTTTTATTCGCAGGCCTACAGAAAACTGATTCAAATGACCAGTAACACACACGAGCATTGCCGAATATACGAGAGGCTCATTATTAAGCATTTGGAACATTGGTGCCATCTCTTATTGTAGAATAAATGCATCATTTTGAATAAAGGGTTAGCATGCAGTGTGAATAGTACAGGGCTCTATTTAACATGTGCAGCTAAAGGCGACACGCTAACGCACCATAGGCTTATGTTACTGTAAAGCAGCAGCAAAGGCTGTGATGTGGTCCAGATGTTGTTACGCGTATTAGTGCTTTAGTCAGCCGTTGCATTGTGCTCGTTAGACTGATACATCGCTCATTAAAAACACAAATGTGGCGCTTTTTAAGGGTCGTTTCAACCAATGAGAAAAATACAAAAACATATGCAAAATTATAGAATAAAACAATTCGTTTTGATAGAAAATGAAGAGGATTTATGAATAAAAAGTATACAATATACTAGTATACCTGCAAAGCATTGTGCTGCTCTGTGCCGTGTAACCTGCAGGTTGCAATGTACCTTTGCTCAGGGCTCGTGACTCACTGCTTGCTCAGTGTTTCTGTTTGGGGACAAACTTTTCTGTCCTTATTCATTCGGACAGCCTGTGCAGCTGAAAGACGGATGGTTCATTGTCACCGATTCCTTAAACACGGCCAGCTGTGTGATGTACTGCCCGAGGCCTATCCAGTCAGGTGACAGTGCAGTTGTTGCACACTGTTGCACTCTGTACCTGCATTTAGGACGAAGCTGTTATTATTGATCTGAATAGCGTTACTGCGCGGCGGTGATTGAAACGTGGTGCACGATAGATGTTTTCTAGATGGATCACAGAAATATGAAATGATTCCTCACTTTGTTTGACCCCCCCCCCCCTCAGTGGATTCTGCAGCCCTCATGGGACCCCATACTGAGATCCAGTGACCATTTTTTATGTTTTGTGATGGTGCAAAGCATTTAAAAGCCTGTATCATGATGTCAACACGTTCCCCTGTGAATCTCTTACTGTCCATCCAGTTTGTGTTTTCTCCGCCTGTCCGTTACGTCCAATCCCTACACCGCTGCTGCGCACCCATGTGTGCGCGCGCGCCAATGAGCGTGCTTAATTCCGTAGACGCACCGCGCGTCTCCCCATGGCAGTCTGACCTCGAGGCCCCCCGGGCGGCCCTCCGCCTCCTGCGCCCCACATCTGACACTCTGATAGCCCAGGCGCGTTTATCTTCACTCAGTTTCTCTTCCTTCGGGTCCTGCTGCAGTGTTGCTGTGTTTTTTATTTATCTGACAGCCCGGACTGGACGTAATTCCTTGATTATTCCTCTAAGGATTCACATTCACTCGCAAACACCCACGGCAGTGCTGCGCGTGAAATGTGCTTTGTCTTTGCAAATGTGCCGGCATCCCACATGGTGGACGACAGGGAGCATCGCGGCTGGAGAGAGTCGCGAAGAGACGCTCCCCTCCCGGGTTGTCTAGAAGAATATCGGCTGCATTAAAGCCTTGTGGATTTTTGATAACTTTGTGTTATTTAATAAGGAAGCACGGCAGCACGGCTGCCCGATTGTGGAAACTGTCGTTTCAAACCGACTGAATAAGTGAGTATGCTGCATGTTTATTCTCAATTCAAGGACTTGTGTCACCGAGGATGAGCTATTTAATATAACATGCAGCTTCAGCAGCATTTAAGAGCAATTTATTGAGGAGAGAGTGCAGTTTAAACGCCCTGCTTTATGTTTCCTTTAATATCATGTGAGTTGCACGCTCGTGCCAGCGTTTAGAAGGATGTTTTGAAAGATGTCAAATCACAGTATTTTTTATCGTGATTCATATCTGTGAGCCGCATTTTGTTTCTTCTTCCTGCAGTCAAATGTCGATTTAAACGCTTAGCGTTAGAGCTGTCTGCAAGATGCATATTTATGGAGCATAATAACATATTTTGGTGATGTCAAAGGATTATGAGGGCTAACTTGCACACCCCCCCCCCCCTTTCAACTTGTCATCATGCCATCAACTAATCCAAAGTACACAGTGACATCCAGTGAGGCTGGACTTCTTCCACTAGATCATGTTGTTGACATTTAGCTGGAAGCCGCTGTACTGCACGCTGTATAGGCCTGTTGATAGTTTGTCATGCTTTCAAACAATTCATGGATTCATTCACTCAACGCGGAAACTGTGCTGCATGCTCTGAACTGGGTCGATGCGAGCTGGCATTTAAAACAACAATGAGCTGGTGTCTCGTGGTTGTGGGTCACTGTGATATTTTAGGGAGACAGTGGAAGTGACACTGTCGTCTCCATGGAGCTCAAACATGGACGGTAAACGCGGGCCTCCCCGTTACCCGCGTGTTCGTGGATGGCAGGTGAATGTGTCATCCTGCCGCTGGATGACTTCTCCCCGCAGATGCATGTCGGGACTTCGGGGTCTTGTAGTGGAGGAAGTTCACCACTGGTTTAAAAGAATATAAATGATGGCGTCAATCATCTGAGAGTGTATGATCACTAGAACGCGCTATTGCTGACGATCTATATGATGATGGAGGTTATGGTGTTTATCATTACCCATCAGCTATGAGCTGTTCCGAAGCAGGACATCGTTATGTTTTGATACAATTACGCATTATGCGTACATGCAATAATAAAACAAGGTATTACCAATAACCTGCTGTGTGCATGCGCGCAGTTATGTGTGTGTGTATTAGAGATAGAGAGACTGAGGGACAGGGGGAGCAGAAGAAGAATAAGAAGAAGAAGGAGGGGAGAGAGAGAGAGAGAGAGAGAGAGAGAGAGAGAGAGAGAGAGAGAGAGAGAAGAAGGCGTACGCATGCAGGGGGAATGCAATGGCTCCATGTGACCACAACACAAGCAGCTCCGGCGGCGGCGGCGGCGGCCCCTTTAAGAGACGTGGGTTAGTTTTTCTCTTTGGTTATCTAGCTGTATGAGTTTATGTAATATCATAAAGCTAGAGAACCGAATGTATAAACTAATTCTGCAGTCGTCACGACGGAAACAGGACCGATGGTGGAGGGTTGCTGCCGGAGCGAGGATGGATGGATGCAGCCCGAAACGGAGGACTGGAAGCCCGCGGCGGCGGCTCGTGCATCGCACCGAGAAACGCCTCCATGCTTCCTTTGGACGTGTACCGGTGCAGAGGAGAACGCTGCCAACCCCCCCTAAAAAAACCGGATTCATAGCGATAGATTTCTTTCACAAGGGGATGCGTGGAGTGACAGTTAGCAACCCGGAGACAGGCTCCATTCATAGAGTGGTGATGAGGATGAGGAGGGCGACTCGGCAGCGCTGCATCTGCGGTTCCTCTTTACGGAACATACCCGCCTTTGAGCCACGCGTTTAGCAGCTTATAAATCGCATGTTTTAGTGTTTTATTTCTTTTCTTTTCTGTTGACTGTGTAGTTAGTTGATACTGATAACCAGGAGGTGAGATGAGCACGGGTTGTAGCTGGAAGAGTACCTGATTGGACGACTCCTGGGAGTCACGTGGTGCACCAGTATAGCCCCCACATCCCTCTTGCTGCTGGCCTGTGCGTGTAGTAAAATAGTAACATGGGAAAGAGCTGTAACAATCAAAACTAATGCACTTGCTTGTGTCTGCAAAATGCACGTTTGTCTCTAAAAAAAAGTTTTACTGTGGCACACCAGAGAGGCTTTTTTGCAGGCAGTGGTGCATCTTTACTGTCCTACAGCTGGATGCAATGAGAAATAATCCCACCATCAAGTGCACTCTCAGGGTCTCTGGTGCTGTACAGCGGGCACACCCGGAGAATGCGGAGTGGCTCATCAAAGGAATGTGTCACAGGCAATGAGGTGAAGGAGAAGACAATATTGTGATTCGCTAGGTGTTTGTCAATGGGATCATCTTCTATCCCTGGATTTAGCTTGATTGATGCGCTTATTAACAGCAGCTTCAGGCCTCATGCACACGGCTGACAGAGCAAAACGATGTCTCACCTCGCTGTGGGGACACATCATGCACACCTTGGTATCCTTTTTTCTTTTAACAAATGCATCGCAGTAGTTTAGCTACATTTGTTGATAAGCAGCTTTTGTATATTCTTAGTTCACATGACGAAATGTGTTGCTGAGACAAATCTTCTCCAATCAAAAGATCTCCGTGACTGATGTATACAGCAGCAGCAAGCCGAGCAGAGATTTCCGAGGCCGTGTTAGGGGAGGGCAGGGTCGGCTGGGTCGCCCAGAGGACCCGGCCGGTTTCTCAGGCCTGCTTTACAATGCTGTTTGGGCTGCACATCATCTCCTTCTTTTGCCCCCCCCCCCCCTGCTCCATCCCAGTTGGAGAGGAGCTCCTGTCTGGTTCCAGCGCTGAGTGATAGGTTGCACTCTGAGGGGCGAGCCTGTTGAATTTTAAACCAGCCAATTCTGTATTTGCTGCTAAACAGCTACAGCGCCGTTCTGCGTGGTGGAGAATGTGTAGCAGCAGCACCAGGCTCTGTGCTGCTGCCGGGAGGCCCCAGTTTACTGCGTCACAGAGCAGGGCAGGTGGAGAAGGAGCTAGCATGGGAATATTTCTCTCCCTTTTGTGGCCGTGAGACTGCGTTGATACATTCTGTGGATATACGCCAACGTTGTGTGTGATCTGCTGACGTAATTATGATATTAATGGCAATTTTAGACTATCAGTGTGAGCTGTGCTGTTATACTTTTTGTAGTTTAATAGAGCGTGGTGCAAATGAATGTTTTCATCGAGGGAACACAGGATAGGTGTATCTATTTTAATGCGACAGGAGCAACTAAATGGTAACGGTCCCATTGAGGCAATTTTTCTAATACACAGAAGTGATAAAGGAGATATCGGCACACTCAGATCTACAGTGTACACTTTATTACTTTACTTTAATAAAGTGTACACTGCATAGATGTAAGTGTGCGGATATCTCCTTGATCAGCTTGTGTTTTTATGATACTTCCAGCACCTGAGTTGTTAAGATTCAGCCACATGGAGCTGCAGTCATCCTGCATACAGAATTTAAACTTGTTTCAACTGGAATATCCCATACGGTCTTTGTAGTGGTAATAATTTTGGTGCAGTGATTTTTTAAATAAAATAAATACTTAAGAAATTGTCTTAATGTCACGACTATCCGTGTGCAGAATTTGCCCAATATTTTTTGCAAATGCGCGTCCCTTCTGTCCCTTTTTGTGGGATAATTGCAACATTAAGCTAAAACATTAACAATACAGCATTGTTCCATTTGATTTGACGATGGCGTCTTGTGCCATGCAAACAGACAGCACCACCCTCCCAGCTTTCGCCCGCTCGCAGTAGAAATTAATGCATTGCTGAGGGGTAATAAATGGAGGATATGGGTAGAGCCCTTTGAGATTGAAATGCGGTCTGAGAGGCAGGCTAGACGTCGGTTTTCCCACATTAATATATGTCTGTCTGGGCCCTCTGCACCATCAGGACAGGAGGAGGCCCTCAACACCAGATGGAGCCCAGTCTAGTCTAGCCTGCCAACACCTGCTATAAGGCTGCATTACACTTCCTATTGTCTTGCACAGTGATAACACCATTTATACGTCTATTTGAAAATGTCATTCTATCACCAGCTTTGATTTATTCTGCGTGCTGTGAGGAATTAACAAACATATTTATTAAAAAAAAAAAAAAAAGAAAAAAGTGAGACGAGAGAGAATATGGCTGAAAATGATGTAGAAGGAAGGAAGTGAGAAGATAAGAGAGTAGGAGAGGATATGTGTTTATGCACGCATGCTGTGCATTTCTACCCAACCTGTCATGTCTGTATAGCTTTTCCTGCTGAAGCGTAGATATGTCAGGATGCCCC